CAGAGATTCCCTTAGTATGACACTGTTTTAGTTCTGAACATCTCAGTTGTTTTAAAAGGTTTAGATCTTTTATGTTTTATGCCCATGACCAATAATCAAGATTTCCATCATAAAAGTTTTCTGAAAAGTATACAGCAATGTGTGTTACTACATGTAAGTGCATTCCTAAATCAGACCATTACCGTATTTGATCTGTATGTTAACAACTTTTCAAAGTAACTTATTTGTAAATTTGTATGGCGGGTGTGAATCCTGTGATAAATCAACATTCATCCAAGTGTTTGAACCTATGGATATATGATCTGTCAAATATGACATTTGATTGTGATTATGGTCCTTTTATTATTATTATTTTTTTTTTTAATTACCACAGGTACATTTTCAATTGCACTCCAAAAACAATGAAACACAAAAGACACAAATTTCTCATTCCACTCACAAAAGAACAACGTATTTTTCCTGAAACCTAGTATGCTTTTTCAAGTAGTTTTAGCTAGATCTATGCAAAACTTATCAAAATTACCCCACTCTGAAATGGTAAATAATTAATATATTTATATTTCAGGATATACATGTGTATGTGTTTAATCTTGGGCAAGTGGTAACTCATACATTTTCAATCAGTTACTGATTTAAGCATAAAGTAGGAGAATGTAATTAAATATTCATGTCATTATTTTGTTTTAATTTTGGATAGACAATCAATTTTAAATAGATTTACAAGCAAAAATGAAACAAGAATGAATTGATATTGAAAAGGCTGGTGTATGCCAATATTTCTGCCCTTTAAATACTTAAATGAAATGCAACTTGTTGGGCATCACCATTCATCTACATGTTGTTGTTGTGTGTGTGTGTTTTTTGTAATCAGTAGGCTGTGTTAGAATGAAGCTGAAATAATAGTGCAATAGTTTTGTATGTAAGATGCATTTATTTATATGGATATGTGTATATATTTACATTGTAGGTGTACTAGTGTTACTTATTAGAATGTTGTGAACAAAGAAGATTCAGAAGACATTGTGCTGACTCTGACTGTTGGGTCTCAACAATGGTGCACCAATGTATAACCTGCCTGGTGTACCTAATCAGCAACTTTTGTTGATGCATTTTTAACCTACCATTTATAATGTTCTAATGTGTTCTAGTGATATTGTTATTGTCTCACAGACCAGACCAGACAAACAAACCTTCTTTCCATCCAAATATGACGTCATATTAAACCAATCATTTTGGTTGGTTGGTTAATATGATGAGATGATAATGTTAACATGTTAGATGATGCTTTCATGTAGGTAGTAGACACAAGCTTTTCTATTTCTTTTTTTATCTGTTGAATTTGAAAAATGTCATCTACATTCTTTTGTTCGTCTACTGCAAACCAATAAGCATTTGCTTTACATCATCTAAGCATTTGCCTAATGGGCAAGTTGCATGAGGACTGCATCAAAGAGAAAGGTTCATTTCTTACCTGTAGAATGTAAATGTATCATGTGAATGAAGGCCTCATAGTGGGTTGTGCAAGTATCAAAGCTTACTGCAAGTATAAGTGATTTAATGCTAATTATTGCATACTAAATATTTTTATTTATTCATACCTTTGTACGTGTGTATTGTGTAATATTAAGGTATATACAGTGTTATTGCTTTGATGTTACAAATGTCTAGTATATGTAGAACATGATAATTTTTGTGCACTTTATTTACTTGTCAAAGAGACTTGCCTTCAGTTATTTGCAAAATCAGTGATTAAATCTGGTTTTTAAAAAATAAACAAGAACTCATGATATTTCTTTGTGTATTTTGGTTACAATGAATTCTGACAATTATGGCCGAGGGTGTGTACATAATGATGATGATGATGGTGATGATGATGGTGTTGATGATGATGATGATGCGCATACTGAGCTTGCTCATGTCTTAGAGATTTGTTATGTTACGGATGATGATGCAGATAATTTTGATAATGTTTACTATAGCTTTGATCAAGACACCGGTGATTATGAGGAGGTTTATTGTTATGATGCAAGTGGCCATGAGCAGGAGAAGATGATGATAGAAATTGAATAATCAAGATGATGATAAAATAATGATGATGATCATGATGATGAAAAGGATGATATGAAGATGACAACTTATGAAATGGACAAGCCAGAGATGATAGCATATTCATGCATAGCATAATGCTGATAATAACTGAGATGATTATATTAATCTCTCTTCCGGCATCTTGCTTGGAATACCATTACATATATCAAGAGGCTACAGTGGTAAGATTCGGATATCAAAAAGTACCTGTAAAGGGTAAGCAAATAAAAGCAAAGATAACATCTAAAAGATGAAATCATATCAAATTAGATCAAATGACAAAACAAACTAACCATAGAACTATAACAGGCATTTCAAATAATAAACTGACTAATCAGTTATGTGATATCAAAGTAGTATAAATTAATTAAGACGGAGATAAACATTGGCAAGAAAATCAATTCTGATGTCTACTAATAAAAGCAGACCTACTCTCCCCCTTTTCCGCTTTTCTTATTGGATTGTTTCTGATTATTATATATCGAAATCCCCCGATATTGGAAATCCATCCTTCGCTTAGCTTTCATTTGGCTCAGATTTTCCCCGTACAGATCTGTGAAATCACACCCTCCCAGGGATTGGAGGGTCGCGACTTGATCGAGCTCACGATTTCCCAACGTTTTTCACAGCCACGCCACCATACTACGGGAGGGAAAAACAAAATTAAGGCAAGATGAACGTTTCTGAACTCAATTTGTATGATATTCTTGGGATTCTGCAAGATGCTGATCAAGATAACGTAAGTAGAAGTTTAGAAACGTATTTTTCATCTTATTCAGTATCATGCAATACAAAATATTAAACGCGATTTCATTTGCGGTATAGATCTAGGTACCGGTACTTTTATACCGGTTAGCTGGTTAGCTCCGAGTACTCCACGCAGCTCTTAGCGATTGCTCCCGATCCCGCCAGCGCTCCGGCGCCGTTAATCACTTAGGTCTAGTTCTATAGCTGTATACTATTACTAGTACATACTACATGAATGTCTAACTCTAAGTAGACATACGGATGGTTTTTATAGCTAGTCAGATATCCTTTACATTTGTACCGTTAGTTTTTAGTTTTGATCTAGATGATAGATCATCTACACTATCAATTATCAGAATCATGACTATTTTAGTTAGTGATGTGGTTGCGTGTGAGCCGAGTCTTTACGCTGTGAACTAGATCTAAGTTAGAAAGATCTAGAAAAATCTAATTCAAGTTGCTAGTATAGTAGTACCGGTAATACTAATAGTATTAAGTACTTCTACTTCTATTCTGCTACTTGTCAAAGCCTGTTCAGCATTTAGACAAGTATGAAACTGAAACAGGTGTAAACTGACGAGACTACTGTGGCCTGACTCTGGGCCGATGGGGTACGACTATCGACTAATGATGATGCGACCGCAGCAATCACATGCGTGTAATATACGTGAAACCAAAGCTTAGGAGAACTTCGGTCTGTTTCACTGACCATTTAGAGATTATGTCGCTGACTACTGCTAATCAAATCCATTCCTTTAGGTGCATACTTTTCTTATATCTACTATCTAGTATACAACTCAGCGATTTTCAACCTTTTTTTATAGTCGTGGCATACTTTTAAGGAATACAATTTGTGTTGCGCCACCCCAATCAAAAATTCCTTTCCAGAAAATTCATTTTTGCAACGCTCTGGCACTTGTCAAGTGCTATGAACAGGGTCCAGACAACTCGACCCAAAAACAGCTCGCCCCTGGACAATTCGCCATATTTCTGCCAATTCTGCCTTTTCGGACAGCTCGCCCCACTTTTTTCCCCTCATGATTTCTAGATCTAAAATCCCTCATCTTAGATGAAATTGTCATTTTATGTATTCAAATATGAATATGCTGTTATCATGGGTGTCGATCCCGGGGGGGATGGGGGGATATATCCCCCCCAATATTTCAGGTGGGGGGGGGGGGGATGGCCTGTACAATCATCCCCCCCAATAATTCACCATCAAAAAAAAAAAAAAAAAAAATGAAGAGAAAAATTAAGGATGAGAGCCCGATGGGAGTAGTTAATGGTTATTTCTCGCAAGATGACCATCAATATACACATTTTGCTATCTCATTTTCATAATACATACATACAGTATATACGAAGTAAATAAGACAACCGTATATGAGACAAGAATAAATTGAATTCTTGCTCATACGGCTTCATCAGGAATTGATCAATTTATTCAATTTGTTCAATCAACAGCATCATAGAAATGCAGTGCGCCAAATGCAAAGACGCTGCGTCAAAAAGCAACGAGCTAAATGTTAAGTGCAAAGTGCAAAAATAGCAATCTGCAATGCACATCAGACAATCCTGGACAGTGTAAACATAGATGAACTCTGTGACGATTTTGTGATGAGATCGGAGACAAGGAGAAAGATTTTCGGACATTAGTATGACTTAAAAAATAGTTCTCTAGTTGTAATGTTGTTTCCGTTCACCCTTTTTAAAATTCACGTCATTGTATCTTTATTTTTGTTTTTTTCACTCATTTTATTTCCTGATATTTCCTAAAAGATTTTTCATTTTTGGAGAAAGATTATTACGTCACAACTTATTTGTAACACAAATTATTTTCAGTGGGGAAACTGAATTCAGACAAGGATTAATATAGAGAACAGTACAACGAATCGTCTTCTTTCTCTAATAATTCAGTGAAAAGGGCAAAGCTGTAAGGGGGCAACTGAATTCAGCGTAATAATCAAATGCAACGTCAAAGTACACGATATAACGAAGCTTCTTCTTTTACGAATAATTTAATGAAACGTGAAAGCTTCCGCGCTAAGCGCGGAATGGGCGAAAATGAATACAGACAAGGAATAAGAGTAATAATTTATTGAAACGTTAAAGCTTCCGCGCTTCGCGCGGTAGAGGGGAAACTGAGTTCATGAAAAGACACGATACAACAAATCGTCTTCTTTCACTAATGTGAAAACTTCCGCGCTTCGCGCAGGAATGGGCAAAAATGAATTCAGACAAGGATTAAGAGTCGAGAATGGTACATCGAATCGTCTTCTTTCTTTAATAATCTGATGAAACGTCAGAGCTTTCGCGCTATGCGCGGAGGAAGGGGAACTTGATTCAAGCAAGGATTAAGAGTTGGGAATGGAACATCGAATCGTCTTCTGTCTTTAATAATCTAATGAAACGTCAGAGCTTCCGCGCTATGCGCGGAGAAAGGGGAACTTGATTCAAACAAGGATTAAGAGTTGAGAACGATCCAACGAATCGTCTTCTTTCTCTAATAATTTAGTGAAACGTCAAAGCTTCCGCGCTTCGCGGGGGGGGGGGGGGGGGGGCGGGAACTCCCCCTTCCTGCACGCCTAAAATGAAATCCTGGTTACGTGCTTGGGGGAGGGGTGCAACTTGCCACATGCTTCTACCTCTTGATTGCTTTGATCCATTGCCAAAAATATTTGGGCACCTATCATCCCCCCCAACCACGGATACAAATCGACACCCTTGGCTGTTATGTATCTTTACATTCCAATATTACCTTTCCGGAATTATCGCTTGCTTCAAGATTATTAGTGAACAAAATTTTTAAGATTGTGCAATATTATGGCCGTCTGGCGGCTGGCGTACAGTCAAGGGTACCAGAAAGCACTGGCGTACTGATGGGGGGGGGGGGGGGGGAGTTGACCCCCAAAATAAAATTTAAAAAAAAAAATTAACATGAAAAACTCTAATTCAATGAATATTTTAAAAAGATTTTATCAATCCCATCTTTAATCATTGTATTCCACCCCAAAATAAATGATGTTACGTTTCAGTTAATGCACTTTTTAATGTATTCCCCCACTCTTTCTCTTCCCCTTCCCTTTTTTTTTTTCTTTTGTATTGGTGTTCAGGTTTTCTCTGCTTTCCTTTTCCTTTTTCTTTCTTTTCTCAACAATAAAGTGTATACTTTTTAAGGGATTGACGCTCATAGGCTAATTGCCCTTAACAGTATATTCCTAGTTTCCTACCATTAAAAAGTTTTCTAACAGACAAAATGGATGAATTAAATGTTAAATAAGTGCGTCTTTAAAGCAATCTTAAACTTAACAATGGAGTCAATGTTTTTTAGATGTGCTGGGAGATTGTTCCATAAAGTTGAGGCAGTGTGAGCAAAGCTGCGTTCACCATATGACCTGGTCATCACTGGTGGAATAACAAACAATTTTTTCTTATTAGAATGAAGATTTCTAGAAGGTGTGTACAATGTTAACAGCTCTATCAAATAAGGAGGCGCAAAATCATAAAAACATTCATAAGCTAACAACAATATTTTGAATAAAATGAGAGTGAATGGGTAGCCAGTGTAAGTCTCTTAAAATAAGAGACATAGATTCATGTTTCCTAATACGATAAATAAGACGAGCTGCTGAGTTCTGCACAACCTGCATCTTCTGGTGAACATATGGGCACATTTGTAGCTAAATTTGCAATTGAGCGAGTTCAAAAAAGGACACTTTAACTCGGTAAGAAATTTACTTTATTATCAACATACTAGATATAACATAGAATCAAGTGCACCTCACTGCTGAATACATGAATACAAAAGCATTTTATGTGCAGTCACCTTGATGCACAGAAATGAGGATATTCGGTTATTCTCTAGAATTATCCTGTTTTGAAATGTTGCTAGCAAGTGAAGCGAACAAGCACCTAGAAATGTTATTTCGATAGAAGAGATGAATAACTGTGGGCACTTCGCTGTGAAATAAAAGGCAATTCAGGCACCTCGTCGGTCAAATATGGAAGTATTTAAGCACTTTGCTGTCTGAAATCATGTTTTAAAGGTTAAGAGCGAGCGAGCTAGGAAAAAAAAACACTTTGTGACAACTGACAAGGTGTGACTTTGATTTGATTTGATTTGATATGGTTTATTGATTAAAAAACATTCAAATAGCAGCCAGAGGCTGAAACAAATTGAATTTACAAAAGATACATTCAAAAGCATAACATATACATATAAATGGCGATTCACAATAAATAATCAAGGATATGATCAAAGAAAAGAAGAGAAGAGAAACAAGAGAAGAGATTAAAACGGATGACTAAAGGATAATTGAAGGAGAACGATCGCGTAGCAGAAGGCAATAAGAGAAATGTAACAGAAGATTAGAAGGACTGGTAAGATAATAACAGAGAGGGGGAGAGAGAGAGAGGGCATAGAGAAATGAGAAAGAGAAGCTGGCGAGGAGACTACACAATAAAAGGGACAAATAAAGAGTAGGACAGATAAATAGGCTGAAATGGAGAACTAGATATATAATCGGATAAAGTGTAATAAACTGTACTATAATACAAATATAATACCGTACAATGTAAATGCAGCATAATTTTTGAGACCAACTTAAACCGACTACAAAATTAAACAATGAATCCTAAAGCACAAACCGCAATGTCATTGATATATTCATTATAGATATTTAAATATAAAAACCTTTACATAATTTGTCAAAACATGGTTAATACACATGTATTTGCTTCAAGATCCATATTAAGATATATAATTATTATTGAAAATTGAATTTACAAAACTAAAAAAATAGCTGTTAAAAAAGAGGAAAAATTCGGGAACAAACTAGATGTGATTAACAGAATTGCATTGTTGGATTGCAAATTTTAAAAATATAGGTATATATATTATTTTGAAATTTGAATTGATAAAATCAACGAAACGAATGGATTATTATTCTTTCAAGCTTATTTCAAATCTGAGTTTATCAGCCGTACAATGGTAGGGATCACAGATTTGCGATATCTCGTGGTTCTACACATTGGGATATTGAGTTCGTTGGAATTCCGAAGCTGACGAGTCGTTGTCTGCCCTCGGAACTCGGGCAGGAGATCTCGGTGTCGAGAGGAGAGAAGACGAAGACCAAAGTTAGAGAGCAGAGTTTGTCTTTAAAATGCCTTTACCTCATTAAAGAGTATGTACTCAAGCAGTTTCTAATATTTGGTTTTGACAAAATCTACGCTATTCCAAAATAACCATTTTTTAAATATTACTTAAATTCTCTTGCGGCACAGCTAGATAAATGTTTGTCTCGTGGCACCCCGTTGAAAAACACTGATCTACAGTATTTACATAATAACTTGAAATTAAAGTAAAGTTCTAATGTTATTCATGGTATAATGCTCAGTCAGTTTTTTCAGACTTCTGTTATTTCACCTTATTCTTCATATTCTTCGTTTTTCCATCTACTTTTTAAAATTATTATTTATCATCATTTTTAGTAATTAGTTTCATTGTGATAAATCTCTATCAACATTTCAGTTGCCATATAATGCTACCCTTGCAATTATTTATTTAACCATTATAAGGACATTGAGGAAGGTCGCTGCTCGCAGAGAATCCTGTTTAATTATCAATGATGGAGAGTGTTGTTACTTGATCATATATAATATCTATTGTTATTTCAAACAGATTAAGAAAGCCTACAGGAAGAAGGCATTGAAATGTCATCCAGATAAAAACCCAGACAATCCTAGTGCAGGTGAGCTCATAGGATTCTCTTGTCTTTCTTAATCCATTTATTCCTTAATTTTGGCTGCTTTATTATTTATTAATTAATAGTATGTCATTATCATTATTATCAGTACGTTTTTGTTATTATTAATAATAATGTACTATTATTATTATCATTATTATTTAATCCATTTACATTCAGCTGAGTTTTGTCAATGCTACCTTACTAATTCACTATTGTCAAGTGTCATCTCTAGATTTGTTTGATGAGCAATTATAATATGTATGCCTATCATAATATATTTCCCCCATATTTTTTTACAGCTGCTGAATGGGAACAGCTTGCCAAGGCATTGGAAGTACTGTGTGATGACGATGCTAGAGTAAGTATTTGCATTGATTTTTGTATATGCAGTGATGACAAGGCTTTAGAAGGCCCAATATTTTTACATTTTAATTATCCAACGTTTCGAGAGAGAAATAAAAATGTTATTCTCTAAATTGTCTAAGATTAACATTCATGTCTGAATTGGATATGTTGAATCATCATACCACTTGTGTAGATAGTTTATTGATATTTTGGATCCAAACTTTATTAGAGCCCAATAAGACATGATTTTGCTTGATAATGAATAGCTATTTGACTTTCTGATTAATAACACATTGACTTGTTAACTTAAGAAGATACTCAGGATAGAGTAGAACTTTAAAAAGAGGTTTATTCAAAATATCTTGCAGAACAATTAAAGTTCTTTTTCATTCTAGTAAAAAAAAAATTACATGAATGTAGAACTTAATACAAATGTTTCATATTTTGTAAAAGAAATTGCTAGCCTTGTTTCATGAGTTCTACTAAACTAATCTTTTGAACTCTTTTCAACTTATGTTGATATATGCAAGCATCCTCAAGTTCTTTAAAGAATCAAATATTTATGCGATGGCAGAAAACATTTGAGAAACAGGATGGTGGATATTTGAAAGAAATATGGCAAATGAATAATAAGAAATTTATGGATATCTGAAGGATGCGGTCAATAAATCTAATGCAAATCTCAAATTTAGTCAGTCAATCGTCACATATTCACAGACGACTCTCCCATTTGTTGCTCACTAAAGTATCATTTATTTCTTTTTTTCTCCTAAACACCCTTTCCTTTTGACAGTTCTCAAAATGTTTTCTTGGACATGTTTTATAGGTCCTCCATATAAAAAAAAGATACGAACACGTAATAATAACTTTTGGTAAACAATGATTTCTTTAAGTTCTTTTTTTTTTTTTGGAACAGTTTGATTTTGTCTCACCACTATGCTCCTTTGATATTTCTGCTATCTTAATGTTTTTTCGAGGAATTTTCTTTTTGAGATTGGATTACCCTTGAGAACTTTATTTCATTCAGCGATATTGAATTCCATGAACCATTGATTCCATTTATAATCCTGAGTGGCATGATGTGGCTATTACAGCTGTTGTGTTCAGACAGGGTCCCATCTCTTGTCTGATGTACATTCGTACAGAATGGGTAATGACAGCGATCTTGTATTACACTGCCTGCAAGAGGTTACAGTATATGATGAAAATGTTAGATTCTAAGGTAAAATGAGAAAGACATGTCTTTTTTATGATACAAACCATCAATCCTACTGTAATTTGGGATTTGGAGGTATCTCATGAATGTTCTGTTTGTTTGTTTGTTTTCAGGCTGCATATGATAAGATTCTGAAGGCCAAGAAGGCAGCAGAATTGAGGAACAAAGCCCTTGAGGGTAAAAGAAGAAAAATTAAAGAAGGTATGGTAAAATATTTGTAAAAGCTACTATTTGATTAGGGGACTTTGGTGCGACATCATTTTTAGTGGTTTTTGTTTTTATTTCTTTCTTTTTTACAAACCAGTTGCTACATGTAACTCTGCCTAATATTTACATCTCTAGTGAACCCATTTCTTTCATCACTCTTTGTATGGTAGCTGTAGAAATATTTTTAGGAATATCTGTGCTTCTTGTGTGATGGGATGCAGCTCTTACCTTATTTGATTTTAAAAAGTAGAAACACCATTTTCCCTACCAGCTACAAATAATCGAAGAATGACATTTTATCACTCTTTTAATTGTTTTTTCTTTATCAGAACTTGAATCTAGAGAAGCATCATACAAAAAAGAACAAGAAACTTCAACAAAGGATATAATATCACTGGAGGAAAAGGTATGTAATGATTTATAGTGTCAAGACTACAGCACAAAGCCAACACACATTGACTGTAATATGCTACATGAGTACTATTTCAAGCACATTAGGCTCAAACAGATGAAAAGCAGTACTATAGATTCTTTTGTCCACCCTCAAATGTGATAACTCATATAAAATATACTTTTAGACCTCACTCTTAAAAGTCACTTGATACTGTATGTTAACTGCAGAAAATGTTTCAATATGGGTCAAACATGGAGTGCTTATGTTGTGATGAAAGATAACTCTATGTCAAAATGAAATGAAAAAAAAACACATCACTTACCTTTAAAGGTACTACCGGTATGTCCCATTTGCAGCCAACATCAAATTCTGTAGAACTTTGCAGCAATTATGAACATGTAACATATGTTCTATCTGTGAAATTTAAACTTTAGAAGGTCCTAATATTCAAGTTATGCAAGGAAACTCGTTTACTTTCTAGACTTAACTGTCAGACACTATTGAGTTACTGATTGACTTCTTTTTTTCCCTTGGTAATAACATACATAAAATGAGCTGTAAAGGGTACATGAGCATTTAACTACATCAATAACCCAATTCTTGTAATGGCCAAAATTAAAGTTATTGAATCTTTGCGCAGCTCAAAACATACGACCATTGGGTACAAGGGTCTGAAAATCAGACTATTACTATAGCGATTGCAATCACTAAAGTCGATCCGACAACTAATGGTCATTGTTTTCCCACTTCAAGATATTTTCAAGCCCTTTAGTTTTGAGGGAAGTTCTTAATTAGTATCATCTTACAAATGATGTTGGAATTCAAACTTGTCATTTTTTTGGCCTGCGAGTGGGACATACACCAGTACCTTTAAGGTATGCTTCAGAGCCTCTCCATCTATAACCTTAATTAAGATGAAAATTTAGACCTCTATGTATAGTGCAGAATGGTGTTACCACGGTACAAAGAATATCTGGTAATTTAACGATATGTCATGAATTTGGTTAACAGGTTTCATTGTATTAAACTTTAGATCAATCGATTGAGAGAAGAGGGATCACGGACGTTGAAGAGAGAACAAGAGCTTCTGAAGAATGAACTCCATTCTAGTGTTCCTGCAGATGAAGGTAACTCTCCTCAATCAATTCATTAATTATACCATGGACAGAGTTGGGTTTTTATTTCAATGTAACATAATGCCCTTTAATACCCTCATGATTAATTTTACCAAATTACCTGACTACTAATAGAATTCCAAATATTAAAAGGCATATTTGCTAGATGGGAGACATTCTTGCCCAAAATGCCGGGATGTAGCCTTTTGGACGTAACCAAAGAAAGTTGACGTAATTATTTTTATGCTTCTACGGAGTTCTACCTGCTCTTGCCCATCACACATCCAATTATCTTATTTTTAGTAAGTTTAACAATATTTTTGTACGTTTTTCGTAATGAACAATTCTTAAAATTGCTTGAAAATCAACAAAAATCAACAACATAACTAGGCCAAAAAAAAAAGCATTTGGTTGTCCTCAATTGCTATTCTGGAGTAAGGGTGGGTGGGCAGATTTTTTTTTATGCCTCCGCCACCGAAGGTGGTGCCGGAGGCATGTTTTTGGGTTGTCCGGGCGGTCGAGGACAACCAAATGATTTTTTTTTTTTGGGGGGGGGGGGCCCTAGAGAAGTACTTTTAAAAGGAATTCCATACCATTCTCAGTACCTATATAATTGTCTGCTTCTTATCACTCCTTGACTGATATTTCAACATACATGTATATCTACTTCAGTTAAAATTCATACCTCTAGAATAAGGATAATATTCTTTTCTATTTCTACCCTTTATGTTTGGAGTTCCATATTGATATCTTACCTGGCATCTTTGTAACTCTGCTATTGTTTGCAGATGTATCCCCTAAATTGAAGATCAAATGGAAAGCCCAGAAAGGAGATCATTCAAATGGAGGATACAATTATCTTGGCTTAAAACAGATTTTCGGGAAGGTGAGCTTGTTAAGTATCACTATATGGGTTTACTTATTGGGAATGACTATGCATAATACTTTAGCAAAGATATCATGTGGTCAAGATTCATTTGTATTCAGTCAATAATTGGTAACAATGCAGAATTACTGCCATTCACAAGTTTTTTATGGCAATATTTTCAAACTCTGCAAGGATCCAAACAGCATGAATTAAAAAATATGCAAACAATTTGACATTTCTATTAGGAAGCAAGGATATGAAGTAATGAATCACCTAATTTTATTTTGGAATAGATATGAAATTGTAAGAACATTGTCAAAAGATCTCCATTTTTGAAAACATTTAGAACCACCAAAAAAAAAGAAGATTTAACTCGAACTGACAAGGTCTTCTTTGAGAAGTAGCTTTTTAAAGACGGTAGTTTATCAGAATTTTGTCTTCAAAATCATATATTATCACTGGTTTCAAGCAATAAATTCAATTTGGTGAGGGGGGGGGGGGCAGTGGTGTTCCAATTGCCTTTAACTAAATCTGTAATGTATTTACTTGTGCAGTGCAGTTGTCTCCATCATATTGACAGGTATTTTTTTCTTTTTCTCAGTATGGACAGGTTAAGAATCTGATATTGTCAAGCAAACGAAATGGAAGTGCTATCATTGAGTTCTCATCTGTTGCTGCAGCTGTAAGTTATAATGATAAAAATGATAAAGGCTAGAAGCCTAGGTCAACATGTAGACATTAAAGAGTATAGAATATTTGGAAAGCTCAGCCAAAACATAGATAAACAAGAAACCAAATACATGAAAGGTAAAGTAATTAAAGTTAAAAAAACAAAACAAAACAAACTCACAATTACTTAGTTTCTGTATTATACTGTTCATGTACTGTTCAGGTGTACTCTCATGAAGTGGGAATAAAAGGTTTTCCATCTACTCTTACTCTAACAGGTGTCTTATATTGATATGAAGATGTCCTCATAGAGACCCTGCAGAAACTTAATTGAGGGCTGCAAGTGCATTAAGCATGTAAACTAGTTTCTTACTTTTTCTATGCATTGTCATGCATAGCATTGGATAAAATGTATCAAATGTCAATGTCACATTAATGTACATGGATATGTATGTTTGAAACATGATATAGAAATAAAACAATCAATATCAATTATCAATTTGTTTAGGATGTGTTGAATCTTGAAAAAAAGAAAACAAATTCAAACAAATTATATAGATGTTTCCTAATATATTTGTCCTTTTGTGTTTGCCCAGTGATATTAGAAGCAAGTAGTAACACAACACAATAAAGAGATGTCATGGTCCAGTGAATACATCTTCAGACTGTGGATCGCATGGTTCACGGTTCGAGTCCTGCCGCAGTACTAATGACCTTTGGCAAGACATTAATTTACTTTTGCCACACTCCAGCCAGGGGTTGAATGGGTTCCAGTAGGAAGGAATTCCTTGAATGCTGTTAGCACTGACATTTGTTGCCTCGCAGAGCTGGGGTAATATTGGAGCCTTTAGCACATTGCATAGTGGAGATGTGCGCTATTAAAATATCCAATATTATATTATATTATTAATGATCTTTTAGCTTGAATCTTTCTATTATACAGTGCACCCTAACACAATGCTGCTCAAAACAATATAAAATAAGATTTCTTCTTTCCATATTCTTTTAGAACATGGCTGTATCCAATGAATTCGGTCTACCTCACAACCCATTGCAGCTGACTTGGCTCTCTGGAAAGCCAGAGAAAAAGATTCAGGAAGAATTGAAAATGGTGAGATTTTTAAAATAAGTTAACTCTACATAACTAGAATCTGTTTAGACCACAAAAATAGTTTGATTTATGGAAAATTCAACTTACAAAGTTTAAATAACTCATGCTTTACATAATTTGGTTTAAAAAACTTGATTCAACTTACAAAAAATTGACTTGTGTGACTTTAAGTTATTCAATTCAATTCAATTCAAATTATCATTTTTTTCTTCCATTCAAATTTTCAATTTGACATCTGTTCAAACAATACGATCTTTACGTAGGAACATATTATGAGAGTCAAGCTCGACTAGCACATGTGCTATTTTTTACTCTATTTTACCATTGATCACAAACTCATTGTCAATAGTAATTTATTGTTTTACTCTGTACACTAAATTTTTATCATGTATATTGCTGTAGAACATGTATCTTAATTCATGTCATCATTATATTTATGTTATATTGACATTGTCATTGTACATTTATATATCTTTTGTTTCAATGTTTTCAATGGTGGTGAATAAATCAATTCAATTCAATTCAATTCAAATTCAAATTCAATTAAATATATATACTGGTAATTTAAGAATGTGTATTACAAGGAAGAAGGTGTGAATCCTGGTAAGCATAGCTGATATTGAGTATGCCCAAATTCACAAATACATAATAGAAGAAAGGTATAGGCAAGGAGAAGAGGATAGAGAGCTTGGAGAAAGAGAAAGGAGAATAATGAATTGTATTTAATTTGCCATGTGGTCTAGACTCTATACACCGATTCGGGCGACTTCTGGTGGAAGTGCGCCCTCATAAGGTGACGCCATAACTGGGGGGCGTCTGACTGCAGCTAGCTCGCTTACATTGCAACGGGTATGCTATACCTATACCGAACCTCGCCCAGGCCGGCCAGGGTCGCTGCTCCGCTAGCTAGTAACCGCTCTCGAGCTCTCTGTACTGTCAGCTGGATCGGAGAAGCCCCCCAGTTATAGCGCCGCCACCGGCGGCCAGGTACATAAAACCCCCAAACCGAATCGGTGTATAGTCACTTAATTTAATACACAGTTTGTTTACTATCCTTGTGGTCTAATGATCAATTTGTATTTTGTGTAATTCTATCTTTTTCCTCTTTATCGTTTGATAGATTGCCAAATTATTTAGTCTACATTTATGTATTGTAAGAACACACCCTTACATGAGTGTTCTGCATATTGATTTGTATTAGCTGTGTGCTTCCTACATATGTATATTTATATTAGTAACATTTGCCTAGAGTAGACCCAGAAGATGCCATCTTTATGTAGAATACACATAAGTATTATGTAGAGCATTTGATATTGTGTGAACCAGAAACCATGAAATGTAGTCAGTTTGTTTCTTATTTTGTTGAATTTCTTGTAGGCAAATGCTGATACCCATGTTGAGGAGCAATTTGAGGAGGATGTCCTTCAACTACTTCTACAAGCAGAAGCCATGAAACAAAGACAACAGCAACCAACTACTCAACAACCGACTACTCAACAATCCAATGAAAAAACAGAGCAAATAAGTGAACATTCAGAGGTGAAGGAAGAGAATTCTCCTGAACAATGTCCACAATCACACTTAGATGTGAAAGATGGAGAGGATGGATGAATGCTTTACATCAGATAAAAAGACAGTTAAATAGAGCTTTGATTGCCTATGTAGGAAAGATAGCTCTTGAGATGATGTGTATGGCAGTGTTTGATTTACATGTCAAAGAGAGAACAAGTCAGCTGTGCTTCCTAAATGTGGTCATTATGTGAAAGATATTTTGGCTTATATTTGGTCATGGTGCATTTACATTATGTGAGATGATCCCTCCAATAGAACATTTTCAGATAACAGTATTGAAGGGGAAGCCCATCCTCATATTAATCAGTCAATTGTACTAAAAGCAGAAAAAACAGCGGTGTAGTTAGAGAAATGTCTTATTACTGTGATACATACCAAACTAGATGGAACTTCGACTGCGCGCAGTTGAAAGTGATGCCTCCGTCATAGAGCAATTTTACAAACCAAAACAGAAGAAATATTTCAAATTCAAGTTCGGTTGTAATCCATGACAGGTTCTCAGAATATCGTGATTATACAAGCTATTTCTCATATACATGTATGACCCTTTGATCTTTGAACTCATGACCTCAAATGCAAAATACATATATATATATGCATGTCTTGAGTTTGATGGTAATCCATCCATCGGTTCTAATGATAATGCAATCACAAGCTATTTTTGCATACATAATGAGCCCCATGACCTTTGACCTTGACCCCAAAATCTAATCAATTCATTGGCTCTGCAAGATACATACATAACCTAAGTTTGGCAGGAATCCATCAATCGGTTCTTGAGATAACGTGATCACAAGCTATTTTTGCATACATATTGAGCCCTGTGACCTCTGACCTCGTGACCCCAAAATTTAATCAGTTCATTGGCTCTGCAAGTTACATACATAACCAAAGTTTGGTAGGAATCCATCAGTCAGTTCTTGAGATAACGTGATCACGAGATCGGGACGTACGTACGGACGGACGGACAACCCGAAAACATAATGCCTCCGGCTACTTCGTAACGGAGGCATAAAAAGCTGTGCCAATGTCAGCTGGGCTCAAGGTACATGTATGGATGAGCATGAAAAGATTAAATGAAAAGAGTTTGGTTCATGAGGTCAGATTTTAAAGCACACAGGATCATTGATCAATAAACACAGTCACATTTATCTTTGAAACAAAAATATTAAATTTATTTATAAAATCATTCAATACATCAGAATCAAGGCTATGTAGAAGGTGACTACCCTGTGATATATCTTTTTAATTATTGATCTACTTGAAATTATATATGTAATTTGTGGAGGTGTCTTTCCTTTTCTAAAATTTTTTTTTTTTATGCCTTCACTTAGTCTCCACCATCATGCTTGGGCCATTTATACACATTATCTGTTATCTTTGTGTCCCACTTTTATTTGTCACATTAACCTGAGAACCATGTAATGGATTTTAATCAACCCTGGCTTAAGTTTGTAGAAACATAAAAAGGTGACCTGATTAGATTTTGGGTTTCAGAGATCAAAGGTCACTGGGTTATAAGAGTCTTCCAATAAAATCCATCTTGTTACTGCAACTTGAGCAGCGTTGAGATGATTTCAACCAAACTCTGGTCAAGAATTATTACCTTGAAAAGATGAATACATGTTTATTATATTTGAGTTTCTTAAATCAAAGGTCTTAGAAGTATACAAATTTTAGAGAATGTCTTGTTGCCATTTGAATTTGACAACCATCGAGTCTGTTTTAACCAAACATGGCCAAAGTCTGAATAAACACTACAGTTGTGGATAATCATAAACAATTACAGTAATGCTTATTAATGTAAAGAATGAAAGGTTGGAAGGAGAGGAGAAAAGAAAGGGGTATGGGAAGATGATAAGACATCGAGAGAGGAAAGAAGAGAAGTTATCAAGAGACTAGGGGAATATCAAGATGGAAGAAAATGTGTAATAAGAGTTGAGATAGAGACGGTTAGGAAGAAATTAACAAGAGGAAGTTAGAAAAGGAAAATTAAGGGGAAGATGAAGGAGGAATTGAAGGGAAATAGAAAGAGTGAGGTGGAAGACAGTAAGAAATGTAGGAGAAATACACGAAGAGAGAGAGAGAGATTATATTGGTGGGAAAGTAAGTGAAGAGGAGGAAGGGGAGAGAAAAGAATAAATATAAAAGATTGTAGGGCAAACAAGATAAACAGGGCTTTGAAACAGAGACAGAGAAAATAACCAGTGAGAAGAAGGATAGGTGAGAGGGAAATGATGGAAAGAGGTATAGCAGAAGAGCGCAGAAGACTAAGATGAATGAAAGTGGGAGAGAGAGAGAGGGGGGCATACGGGGGGGGGGGGGGGGGGGGGGGGGGGGGGGGGGGGGGGGGGTGGGGGGGGGGGGGGGGGTGGGGGGGGGGGGGGGGGGGGGGGGGGGGGGGGGGGGGGGGGGGGGGGTTAAACCCCCTTTGGTATATTTATATTTGTAAACCCCCCCCCCCCCCCCCTAAAAAAAACCTAAAACCCCCCTTTGGTTTTGTTTTTGTTTGTTTTTAATTATAAAAAAAAAAAAAAAAAAAAAAAAAATATGCCCACGGCTAACCTAAAAAAGGTGACCTTACCCCCCCCCCCCCAAAGAAAAAAAATGTCAAATTTTCAAATTTCGAGACCATTTTCAATTTTCAATTTTCAGGACAGCGTAAATGCGTACATTTTTTAAACAGTATATCTAAAAAATTAATATTTTGACGGACCCTAGCCCGGCCTCTCCCTTAGCACATCGTTACAGGATAACTCACTCTTTGGAAACGTGTACACCTATCTATATTCAGTGGCGGATCCAGGGGGGCACAGGGGGCACGTGCCCCCCCCCCCCCCTGGCCAAAAATAGTGTTGAAATCACCCCCAAATTCGCAAAAAAATGTACTGACATACAGGGACGTGCACCCCCCCCCCGGCCCAAACAAAAAAAAAAAAAAAAAAAAAATAGTGCGCACTCCCCCCCCCCCCCCCCCTCCCCCTCCCCCTCCCCCCCCCCCCCCCCCCCCCCACTGAGCGAATTTGCGGTCGGCGCGATTTTCAAATATTCGGGAGCAAAAAAAATGTGCTCTTCCCCCCCCCCCCCCCCCCCCCCCCCCCCCCGCGCTTATTCAGTGGTTGGCTGAGTCGTTGCGATTTTTTTTTTGGGGGGGGGACCAAAAAAAATATATATATATGTCCTCTTACCCGACGTGTGCCCCCCCCCCCCCCCCGGGAAGAAATTCCTGGATCCGCCCCTGATATTGATCATAATGATAATAATGATAAGATCGATTTATAACGGATTAATGGAAACAGCTGTTTTGCTTTAAGACATCCAGTTATAGTATACATTATGAAGAATTTATCATTATCGAATATTTGTTTCAAGTAACACTTCTGTATAAAACTATCCCCCTCACGACTCTATATAATACAAATTGAAATATGTTTTGTCGTCATGGTTTAAATAGAAATATTAAATATCAAACATTGAAGTACCCAAGATTGATAAATGGTTTGCAGCAAGTATATTAATGGTTAATTAAAGTGACTCAAAACTAGTTATACAAGATACAGGATTTTATCTTTTGAAATACTTTTAAATAGTCAACAACAAAAAATCAAACGTATTGTGACTAAACTCCTTAAAGTCCGTGTAGACAAAAACATAAGCTGATCAACTTATACAACTCCCAGAAAAAACGAAACCGAGAATTATCGATGTTTCATGATAATGTAATCACAATTGTAATTAATAAATGACACATATTTGCCAAATTTAGATCCTCCTCTTTTATTTGATGCAACTCATATATGATGCGTATTTCACGCATGATCGAGTGATTAAAACAATTTGAAGAAAAGGTTCCAAAAAGTCATTTGGCGAACGGTATCTGAATTTCAAAGAGAAAATCACATTTCTAGAAAGTTCATTTTTTGCCCTTTCATATGACACCTCAATCAGGAAAAAGAGAAAGGAAAACAAATTTCTGTTTGTTTAAAGTATCGCTTGCATTTCCTTAAATTTCATTAAACGAATTCGTTTTCACTGGCTGCCTGCCGTAGCAACAGACAGACTTAATTCCGTTTCGTTGACGATCAGCCATGCATGGAGTCTTTCGTCTTCTGTGTTCGTTGTTAGGGCAGGCAGTCAGTGGCACATTCAATGGGCACATTACTTTGTAAAATTGCTCCATGGCGGCATAGAAACCTGGAACTATATACTTACCTTACTTACTCAAGATTAATTGAATCACGTACTATAAAACATTGAGATATGCCGTAGCATATCATGTTTGGAATACGGTCAAAACTTCCCAATGATATTCAAAGTTTGTGAGAAAAAATACCTCAAATCTTGTTTAATGTCTAATTAGCTGGAAAATATATGAAACCAATAGAGATGTAAAATAACAGATCAAGTGAAGATCAAGTGACGATCAAGTGACGTACCAGAAAACACCTTTTTTATCTTACAGTGGGCCTGCATACTACAGAAAACTCCGATGATGCCATGTTACCTGGCTGTATCTATATATAGCTGACTTTTCTGTTTAAAGACCGTCACCACTACTGGGCAAGAAGGGATTAGACCACACAGCGAGCCATCGAGGTCACTGTGACAGGTGGCTATCTCATTAACTCAGCTCTCATTTAACATAAGAAAAAGAGGATCATGGGGGACTAACAGGCACCGATTGGGGAAGTTTTCTATATAGAGGGAGCAAGTAGCTACAAGTATGGCAGTGTGCCTTTAATACAATATATATATACGTACATATCAGCTGTGCCAACGTTGGATGTTTTGCCATGTTTATTGTATTCAGTCTTTACTGGCTCGTCATCTTTAAAATGAATGAACAGGCCTAAGTTTGTAACATACATGATTTGTTTTTAATTTGACCTTTGTTTTTATAAATGTGTGTAATATTAGTTCCATTGAACATTGAACATGTATATTTGTGTAAACTTCTAATGGTGATATTTATGTACACTAATTTGTTATCGAAAATATAATTATACAGTGCAATTCAAATACCATAACGTCGATTTAAAACAATCAACTGATCTTGCTACCCTGCCAAAATTGCTTTGAATGAATAATAATAATAATAATGATAATACAAATAATAATGAAAGTGATAATGATAATGTTAATAATACTACTAATAATAGTAAGAAGAAGAAGAGGAGGAGGAGGAGGAGGAGGAGGAGGAGGAGGAAGAAGAAGCCAAAAGCAGAAGAAGAAGAAGAAGAAGAAGAAGAAGAAGAAGAAGAAGAAGAAGAAGAAGACGAAAAAGGAAAAGAAAAAGAAAAAGAAAAAGAAAAGAAAGAAGAAAAAGAAAAAGAAGATAAAAAGATAAAGAAAAAGAAAAAGAAAAAGAAAAAGAAGAAGAAGAAGAAGAAGAAGAAGAAGAAGAAGAAGAAGATCGAGAAGAAGAAGAAGAAAGTCACTTGCTGAACAAAGCAACCCTTACATACATTTCCTTATTCATTTAAAACAATAATAGTAACGATAACAATGATAAAATACTTAGTCATTTTATGTTCATTTTTTTCCTTTCAAAAACTTGTTGATAGCAATGGTATCGATGATAGTATGCGCGGTGAGTACACAAAACTACCTAACCGTGCAATGCCCGCGGGGATCTTATCTGGGTCGGATCAACTAACACCAGCAGCGCACAGCACAGGGGGTAATCAATCGAAGTATCCAACAGCAGGCTTGGTGTAACTAACGAAAGAAAGCGAGTTGGAAAAACATATTCCGCGTTCTCATACTGGAATAATATGGATGTATAAAAGATAAGAAACGTTGAGACGTACACTGAGGGAATTGAAACGGTATGTATATTCTGTTTTTAACCATGTTCCAGCGACATACGTAACAAATTATTGTTGGTGATAACTTGTCAAGTTTCAAAACTTCGTACTTGCTCCTCCATGTATATGTATGAAACCAACACACGACAATGACATGTTTTTTAAGTGGTGTTACAATGCGAGGCCAGAGAGGTCCGGTTCAAATACAATGCAGACACCGCTCTCTGGAGTTAGTGGTATACAGTACATGCCTGGCAGTGGTGGAAATTAAGAGACATAGCAGATACATGTATGAGGAAAAGAAGGGAATTTGCATAACAGAAGTTCGTTTATAGTGCGACAAAACTTGTTTTTTGTATTTTAATTCTTCTGTTCCTCTTCCAGTGTAAGTGCATGCTTCTTTAAAGGGATCCGGTAACTTTGTCTCAGATTCTGAAACAAAATTCTGGATTTAGCTCATGATGCAATGATAATTATAAACCTTTAGGTTAGTCAGGAACCCCATGACTTTTACAAGCCGATCGCCTGTCTGATTATCAAGATATTTATGATTGGAATTACAAATTTTGAAAACCGTTCGCCTGACGGTTTTCATAACACTACAGTCTATTGGGGAAAACGAGTATGGTAAAACCGGTCACTCAAAGATTTTTACTTTTTTGAGGCACTTCTTGATCATTTTGAAGCGCAATTTTTTTAGGGCTTCAATATAACACCATATCACAGACACTGATAACACGTAGCGCTGTGTATCTCAGATTTAACATTGTTAAACGATCCCTTTAAGGTGATGAAGATAAACGCACTGATTGTGTGTGTGTGTGTGTATACATTGTAGAGACTTTCACATATCCTGTTATTCCATTATATTTTAACTTTATGTTCTTGTTGTGGAGGTGGTGGGGGTGGTAATTTTGGTTTTTATTTTACCTGACTGCTAAGAAAGCATAAATGCTTGTATATAAGCAAGCAACCAGACGGTCCTTACCAAAGGGCATTACTATTAGCGCATCGCCTTGGTTTCGAACCCGGGTCACCAGATTACGAGGTGCATGCTTATATAGTTAATAGGGGTAAACCGCAATTGCAGCAATTTAGCAGTTACAGCCGAAATTGGAATAAACATGCTCAAATATTGGATACAAATACAGAGTTTGGATGAAAATGACCTTGTCTATAAATCCTTTGAAGAAAACAAAAAAATAGTAAATTACCAAACATCCCTGTTTGGTAAATGTCAATTCGGGATATCTTTAGTTCATTAAATATTTGTAATAATGGAAATGAGACCGTATTGGACTCTGAAAATATACCAATTTCTCCAAAAGATTTGTCAAGCTACCTACCGGTAGATGTAAACTTAGTTTGGAAAGAAGAATTGAACAATTAAAAATGGGTTTATTTGAAGGCCTACCCATGAAGGAAATAAACTCAGAACCTGATTCAGACAATTTAGAAATACTTTCAAGCAAGAAAAGTATTTATCTCATATACCAAATATAAATTTTAAAAAAAATATCACCAAACTACGACTGAGCGTGCACAACTTACATGTACCCATAGAAACAGGAAGATATAAAAGACCAGAAAAACGCCCCTGAATCTATGATTCTGTGAAGACTGCAATATGAATCTAGTAAGAGATGAATTCCATATAAGTATGAAATGTGACAAATACATTGTATAAAGATTAACAAGTAGATTTTTTTATAAACAATTAGCAATTTCGAAGAAAATTTTAGTTACAGGTACTTACAAATTTGTTAGAATGTCAAGAAAAATTCATATTTATAATGAGATAAGGCAATAAAGATATTATGTATTTTCACTTGGTCCACCAAAACATAATTGCAGTGAGGGGTAACTTTTAGATAATATGTGATAACAAAGTAAAAATGTACAATCTTATGTTTTTGGTTTAATTTTACAGTAGGTCGCATATATTACATCATTTATTTATTTATTTTGTACAGCATGAGTTATAATTTATTTAGAAAATACTATATTAGGTTTTATATATCTAAATCTTTGGATGTATTATGGTACATTATATTATTTACTTTATGCATTATGTGTCATGATATTACAAGAAGAAAAAAAGTTTTCCTGCTGTATATAATTTTCCTCCTCTTTTGCTATATATACACTGCATTGTAAATTGATTTATATGATATACAACATGTATATGTTTACAAACAGAATATTGATTTGTTAAATCGCATTGTAAATTGATTTACATGTATACAGGTGTTTGTTTATAAACAGATTATTGATGTACATCAATGAGGTTTAATAAATCCAATACAATACATGTGTAAGTAAAAATATTCTTGGTCTTGTAGACATGACATCTGCATCCCACTCAAGAAGACCTTGAAGGCATCAAGAGAGGGGTACTGGGCTGGGTCCTGTGGGAGGTTGTTCCAGTACTTGCAGGTACTTGGGAAGAAGGAAGAAGCATAGGCCTGTTATGTTATGAGTATTCATGCTCATACTCATACCGTCATTACTCATTTTTTTGCTCAAGAAAAGAAACAAGACATTTATAAATTAAAACTATTGAACAATAGGCCTTCATTCACCCAAAAGGCCAAAACTTTCAAATATTTCTGTCAGGTATATAAATATATATTTAGGACACTTTTTCAGTTGAAATTACCGAGAAACCCTTGTATCATTCATACGAGCGGGTTTGGCAGAAAAGTACCGGATATATAGAAGAACAGGATTTGGTAACCTGGCGTCATTGGCAAGATGTTTATAAAAACAAATATCCTGACAAAAATACAGGGACACGAAGGGCAATAGAAAAAATGATAATAATAAAGAGAGGTCAATTAATTTTCATAATCAAGATTTCATATTAAGAAGAAAGAATTTCTTTTTTTAAAGATTGTTATAATTATAACAGTCAAATTTGACTGATTGCCATATAATGATGAATACACAAAAAAAAAGATGTTGTATTGCCCTTTGCGACCGACCAAAAATCTTAAAATCTATGGTCGGCTTTTTAATAATTTTTTTTGTTTACCGTTTTTTTAGAACCTTTGGTCAGGGCTAACTTTGCCAGTCGTTATTATCAGCAAATGAGATACAATGGGCCTATTCTATGTTAAAATGTTCCCTTATGCTAGAAAAAGTGGTCAAATTGCTTCTCCACCCCCCCCCCCCCCCCCCCCCCCCCCCATCAACAACAATATGGTGTTTTCTGTCACTTTTTGGCCCAATAATGACAATTTATATTGATCTTTGTCCAAAATGAGGCCAAATTTGCAGCCAATATCTTGACCTCCAAATTCAATTTTAAAAAGAGCGCTGATATCAGAAATTCAATCTCATTGAAATTATTACATGGTTCAGACCCATTTGGTCATTTCAATTAGTGGCTAGCATTTGCTGCGCTCCATTTGTTGAAAAATTTTGACTTGTGAGCTGAAAATTAGCCTGAAGCGGCTCGCTGCTGGGGTGCTATTAATTGTGAATCCACCCTTTTGCCAGAACACTTGTGAAAGATTTATTTCATGTTGGGGCAAATAAGGGGATTATGACATGTAAACCAATAACAAGTTAAAGATTTCCGCTATTAAATGCTGCATGCAACCTTGATACCTTTTGTATTAAATGTATACATAATCTTTGAATTCTTGATAGTGTAAGGAAATAAGATTTCACATATATTCAAATTGAACTTAATACACAGAGATTTTGATATAGACAACCTTGGTAGAAACAGCTTTAAAAAAAAATCAAACTTTATATTTTTTAAACTGTTTTTTAAAATAGTTTTCAAACTGAAATCTATTTTTTTGCATAATAAACAACCCAGAATAAATTTTAGCTAGTTTTTCTTTGAATGCAGTACCTTGTTATTGAAATGCACTTTCATTGAACCATTTTTCCAATGCTTTTCTACTTACATGTATGTATTGAAATCATCATGAAATATGGTTTGTGTTGAGAAAGGCAGGTTTATTTTTAACAGCCCTGTGTAATTTGGCTTATCAAGAGATGGGGTTGCTCCTCTCTGGATCTGCCTGTCTACCTACTATACATGGTTTCTTGTCTAGTACATGTAAGAACACCTTGATGTGTTGTCAATTTGTGTCAACTCTTCCTTGGTATATTACCTTTCCATTTATGGTTATGTAGGGCTATTCATAAAACCTAAAATGGAAATTAGTCAAATATGAGGACACCACAAGTTCCCTGTTACCCAAGGTGGACTTCCTTGTGTAAGTTACCCTTCAGGTATAAATATGTGCCTTTCTCTTTTTGTGATACATTGTAGCATTGCAAATGTACATTTTGAGTTTTGACATTTATTGACTGGATCCCGTTATCAAGCTATCTTTCCTCCTTCCTATGTACGTAATTGTCTGCATTGTTGGGTATCCAAGAAACAGCTTAATGATTTGCTGGGAGTAGTTCTAAAGGCTTCTTGTACAGTCCAGTGATCACAATACTGCCCTGTGTGCTTAAGGCTTTAGTCCTTGGGAGTGTGCTTCTATTGTTAGATGTAGAAAGATGGGCCAGGGGGAGGGGGGGGGGGGGGGGCAGTCAGTTGTAGGGGTAATCATCTTCAAATGTATGCACAATAGCCTGTACTTACATGTATAGTCTAAATCATGCTTGTGCAGTAAACAAATACATAACATTGAAGCCTGGTGGCAGATTGAAGATGGTCCTTTCTAAGCTCTCTTAATTGATTTTGTACCGTCTCATATTTGCCAAGACTGCAAGAGTTTTTGTGTACCCTTGGATTCATTTTTTAGCAGCCTGACTGATTCCCCCTGTCGTATCCATCCCCTTCTTAATAATGTACGTTTATGTCTGTGTATTTATTTTATTAAATATATTTTTTTGTATTGGGGGGGGGGGGAGGGGTTGCTTTTAAAATAATTAATCAGGAGAGCCTTTTAAGGGAATGGTATTTTTAAAGAATTTCAATAATTCAAAGGGACAAAAAGCTAGCATTTGTGTCTTTGCTCTTTATGCACATATTATTTTTTCTCAGAACCCTCTTAAATGTTTTCACCTCTTATTACGTACAGATTGCTTTTTAGTTACCCTTTTCACATTTCACTCAATCAACAATGCAAAAAAAGTATCCCGTGTTCCAAATTAATCATAAGATATTGACCTCATGCAGACTTCGGTCTTGTTTGTGTAATTTACATAATAAAGGTAAAGGCAATCAATTCCTAATTACTTGGCCAATTTATATTGTAGGGTGTCTTTTCCATGCTTACAGTACATGTATCTAGTTAACAAGATTTCGTCTACGGTCAAAGCATGCTTAAGATTTTAATGGAATTTAAGAAGCCAGTGTACTTTCATTATTCATAGTAATTATATCCATGAATTTTTGTGTCTTCTTTGTCTTGCAGGATGTTTACACAGTTGAGAGTTGAGATGGAACCAAATTGCTGAGACCTGTCATTTGAGATGAACTGATAACTTCATGATCAAGCATCATGTAGTTTGTATTCTGACAGTGATACATCAATCTCCTTGTGAGATTGGCACATCTTGATGAATTACAGTGGATCGTTCCAATTAAACCGACGGAAAACAGTAAAACAGAGGCCAGTAAGCAGAGAAATGGAAGAAGGTGGGGAAGATGAACACCAGCAACGGGAGGAGATGGCGGAGGCTTATCGGAAGATGTTGATGGAGCTTGAGAGTGATGATGAAGAAGATAAAGGATCAGTCCCAGTTAAAACAGAAAAAGATGAAGTGGATAGTAAGCCTCCAAAGAAGGTGAAAGGGGCTGATGATAAGCTTCCACTCCTGAATGAATCATTGAGTAGTTCACTAGGAATCGCACTTGCAGACAGACATGGTACCCCACCTCCTCCGTCTATCATAGTGATAGAGGATAATTCTGATGTCAAGATCAATGTGGAACCAAAACAATATGAACAAAAGGTTCCCACTGATGAACGAAAGAATTCAATACCTGGTGGTGGTGGTGGTGGTGGTAGAACATCACCTAATGGTAGAACTTCTCCTCTCAGAAACAACAGGGTTGAACCCATCAATGAGAAGCAAACTCCTCATGAAATACATGCCAACAAAAACAATAACATTCATTCCCTTCTGACAGACAATACTCAGGCATTTGAGAAGTCCCATCGGACGAGTAATGGCAAAGTTTCTACTCCAGATAGTGGTGTAGATTCTTTGGGTTCAGAGAAGAGATCATCCGTAAAAACAATCAGTGATTCCAGTGAGAAATCAAGAAAATCAAGTCGTGCAAATCAAGTTTTTATGAGAACCTTCAAGCAGAGAGCAAGTCAAGAGAACTTTGCATTGTATGGACTCCTTACTCCTGCACTCGTTCTGGTACCAAAAATTGATGGGGTAAGTTCAGTATTGAAGGAAAGGCAGACTGCTATTTAAAAAGACAAATGTTTGTACAAACTCTTCATGTTTTATCATGTATCAATGTTTTTTTTCAATATTTGGGTTGAGTTTTGAAGTTCACATACTACAGTATATCTTCAAAGGGCTGTTACATGTATAGGAGTCTTAGGAGATCACAAAAATTAACTTGAAATTGCGATTGATGTGAGGAGGAATATTGTGTGTTTTTTTCCAAAGAGATATATTTATATATTGTATAAGATGTTTAGGAGTAATGTCTATAAACTATAGTCAGTTAATTAATCTATTTGATGTTGAGAAAAGTATTCATTATTAATTCCTGTGGTACATATGTTTCTATTATGCTTTTATCTCACTATGTGATGAGCTTTTGTCTCATCCTTCTTATTTGTTGTTGGTTAAAAATATATGTTGGAAACAGGACATCATTGTACATGTATACCACTTTAAAATGCGAACAACATTTTTCCTGCATTATCATCAGAACTTAAAAGCAAATAAATAAATACATTTCTTGGCCTTTGTGTAGATATTTTTGATAAGTGTAGAAATATGATTGAGATTTGAATTGATGTTCTTAATCATGTTTATTAGAATGATGCATTGACTGAGACATTCACTGAGTTGAAGGGAGAGGATCGTGAGTTGAAGTTATCAGCAGCTCATATTGATGATGCAATAAGTGGAAGAGGAAAGTACGGCAAAGCTAGAGCTTTCTTCAAGTCAAAGCAGGGAAGATGGTAAGTCTCTACATCTACAGTTAACTCTATCCCTTGTGCAAACCAACTTACCTATAAAACATGAACAGTTTTATTATTTTTATAGCCTATACCGGAACACTAGCTTTTGCTAAATTCTATTGCCATACATGTAGCTAGGTGCTGTATATTTTTTAATACAAAAATTAAAGTTCCAAACTCAAAATCAGTCTCAGCATCTGCATCACAGACCTCTGTTCCTTCCTACCACGATACACTTCTCTTGAAGTTCTGCAATTTGAGTGAAACAGTACAGTGTGTGCTCCTTCCATCCTCTGCCCTGGCCCCCTTCCCTGCCCTTCCCCCTTCCCTGCCCCTTCCCCTTCCCTGCCCTACCCTCCCCCTTCCCTGCCCTCTCCCTTCCCTACTCTGCCCTCCCCTTCCCTACTCTGCCCTCCCCCTCCCCTTCCCTACTCTGCCCTCCCCCTCCCCTACTCTGCCCTCCCCCTCCCCTTCCCTACTCTGCCCTCCCCCTCCCCTACTCTGCCCTCCCCCTTCCCTCCTCTGCCCCCCTCCCTCCTCTGCCCTCCCCCTGCCCTTCCCTACTCTGCCCTCCCCCTCCCCTACTCTGCCCTCCCCCTTCCCTCCTCTGCCCCCCTTCCCTCCTCTGCCCTCCCCCTTCCTCCTCTGCCCTCCCCCTCCCCTTCCCTACTCTGCCCTCCCCCTCCCCTACTCTGCCCTCCCCCTTCCCTCCTCTGCCCCCCTCCCTCCTCTGCCCTCCCCCTCCCCCTCCCTACTCTGCCCTCCCCCTCCCCTACTCTGCCCTCCCCCTCCCCTCCCCTACTCTGCCCTCCCCCCTCCCCTCCTCTGCCCTCCCCCTCCCCTACTCTGCCCTCCCCCTTCCCTCCTCTGCCCCCTTCCCTCCTCTGCCCTCCCCCTTCCTCCTCTGCCCTCCCCCTTCCCTCCTCTGCCCCCCTTCCCTCCTCTGCCCTCCCCCTTCCTCCTCTGCCCTCCCCTTCCCTCCTCTGCCCTCCCCATTCCTCCTCTGCCCTCCCCATTCCTCCTCTGCCCTCCCCTTCCCTCCTCTGCCCTTCCCCCTCCCCTCCTCTGCCCTTCCCCATTCCTCCTCTGCCCTCCCCCTTCCTCCTCTGCCCTCCCCTTCCTCCTCTGCCCTCCCCTTCCTCCTCTGCCCTCCCCTTCCCTCCTCTGCCCTCCCCTTCCCTCCTCTGCCCTTCCCCCTCCCCTCCTCTGCCCTTCCCCTTCCCTCCTCTGCCCTCCCCCTTCCTCCTCTGCCCTCCCCTTCCCTCCTCTGCCCTTCCCCCTCCCCTCCTCTGCCCTTCACCTTCCCTCCTCTGCCCTCCCCTTCCCTCCTCTGCCCTCCCCTTCCCTCCTCTGCCCTTCCCCTTCCCTCCTCTGCCCTCCCCCTTCCTCCTCTGCCCTCCCCTTCCCTCCTCTGCCCTTCCCCTCCCCTCCTCTGCCCTTCCCCTTCCCTCCTCTGCCCTTCCCCCTTCCCTCCTCTGCCCTTCCCCTCCCCTCCTCTGCCCTTCCCCTTCCCTCCTCTGCCCTCCCCTTCCCTCCTCTGCCCTCCCCTTCCCTCCTCTGCCCTCCCCTTCCCTCCTCTGCCCTTCCCCCTCCCCTCCTCTGCCCTTCCCCTTCCCTCCTCTGCCCTTCCCCCTTCCCTCCTCTGCCCTTCCCCCTTCCCTCCTCTGCCCTTCCCCCTTCCCTCCTCTGCCCTTCCCCTTCCCCTTCCCTGAGTAATTGATAGGATGAAGCAATTGAATTGTCGACTTATGTTGGGATAATTATATATGGAGCATAATGATACAGTTTTGGATTTGTTCACGATTCTAATTTGCTAGATTTGAATGATATGTTTCTTATTTAAATAAATAGGAACTCTCAGTTACTGTAAATGCTAAGAAACATACAATAGATGAGATCTCCCACAGGCAGGATTAAAATCAATGTAAACCAACAAACTTCAATCACCTGTAGACATTCTGTCTGAATACAGCCTAGATTACTCTTCATGGTAGTTCATATACAATACCTGCCAAAGGCTAAAAATTAAAACGTAATTGTTTATCTCTCTCTCTCTCTCTCTGTGAAATACAGGTGCTTCAAGATTATTAACAACAGGTATTCCAAGTATCTGGTATTGTTCATGGCAACTATTCATCTTATTCTGACTTTCTTTGAACCGCCTTCATCGATGTGAGTACTGAATAGTCCTCTTTGTAATGCTATTTTTAATCTCTTGTGCTGTAATATCATCACTGTAGTGATAGGAGTCGATCATTTTTGCCTCCTGTCTATAAAATGATGATACTCTTTACTACATGCTTTGTTATTCATTTGTCAATATAGTGATAAGTACTGTGAAATTGAAAAGCATTCTAGAAATGTTTTGAAATTCAAAGGATAGCTATGCACTACCTACATTTGAACTTGGAAGTAAACAATTTGATCTCATTTACTGTACATGTACATGTACATCATGGAAATGTTGTAACTGGCCATATCTCTTTTCCTTTTCCCACTTATACAATGTTATCCAAATACAATGGTCTTTACTATGAATCACAGGTACCAGTTGTACAAGTTTATGTCCTGGGTAATCGGTTTATTAATCACTTTTTAGGTATACAATTTTATTAATAATACATATATTTGTACATCATTTTTCCAGATCTTTAAACAATTTATTTTATCTGTACAATTATAATTGTGATTACACAACAATTTACCAATTTTCCTATATTGCCATGTAATTTTATTTTGAATGTTAACGTTAATTTTTATCTTGTATAATCTACATATATATACATATATATATATTCTGGAACACCCGTTGTCATGTCAGAGTTGAGAATTCTCGCACTTTTATATATATATATATATACATGTCTAATTCAGCTTATTGCTGCAAACCATGCCTAATAAACCATTTTTTGATAGCTACAGTGTATACACTATCTAGAAACTTGAGGCACTTTGCTATGCATTAGGAATAGAACTACATATTTCTGATTCTGTTCTATTCATTTGCAGAAAAGAAATAGATCTCAACATATACAATTAAAACATACATATCACTTACATGTAGTACATACATTGATCTCAAACTGACATAATTTTGTATCGGCTAGCCAAGGTTTCAACCACTCATTATCAAGTTACTAGAGTAGCCAAAGTTTTGTGACATTTTGAAACAAACAAGGTTCATGAAACCTTAGCAACCAAAGAACTCACAGCTCTGGAGTGGAGTGATGTTTGCTTTGTATCACTTTATTACCCTCACTGCTACTCCACTGTTACTCAGCTGTTACTCAGCTGTTCGAAAGGCTCTTAATATACACCTGTTGTACATGTATACCCTATCAGTCTCTTGACATCAAGTATATTGGACAGTATATAATCAAATGACAGTTAATTAAAGGATTGCTCATTTCACATTTGTCTTGGGAAATACATTTGAATTTAAGTGTATACTTTTGCATGGATTATACTTTTAAGCAACAAAATAAATACCAGTATATATTGATGTGTTGGTAATGGTACGTTACATACATACACCTGTTTCTTCATATTGAATAAAGTTTATCTTTAGAAGTGTGGACTTTGAGCTGTCTCTATGTATACAGCAAAGGTCCTGTATATTTGGTCTAGTGAAGGGCCATCATATTAGTAGGACAAAAGACTTAAACTAAGTGTCAAGATGAGTATCAAGCCTTTTAAATAAAGAATTCTTAATTAAAACTTCTGTGAGATTATGGCCTTTTATTAAGTCTTAATATGGCTACCATTTGAGCTAATTTTTAATACGAATTTTCAGAAGTTAGTTCTTTTGAGTTTATGTTGACAACAAACCATGAACATGTAGATGACAAGCATGCCATAAAGGAAAATTCTTAATGAAATTTCAAAAAGAAGTTCAGCAAATGTTATTTTTTGAGATTCCTTGTTTGGGTCTATTTATTATGACAGTTGCCTCTCTCCAATCTGATCAAACAGCACAATAAATGTATAAATGAGCAATATACAATTTTGCATACATGTACAATGGCAGAGATAAATGACGTGACTTTGAGACTCTCAACATACATGTACATGTATGGTGGTCAAATTAAATTAATATTTCTTTTGAAAATCACCTGACATATTACTGTATATATATATATATATTGCATAGTCCACTATAGTGGGTCATTAACCAGGTTGAAGAGGAAGAAAAGTTGTGAAGTGTTATGATACAATTCTAATATCTCAAGGAATGATGGAGAATTTTATTCAAGGTAAATAAATCTTTGATAATGGTCTGCTTTATTACTTTGCAAAAAGTAAAGTTTTGTTCCCTATCAAATCTGATTTTATTATTCATCCTGGCTATATGGTCCATTTTTTTTCTTTTTCTTAATATTTTCTTAATGTGCATCAGCCTATGGTTTTTTCATGAAGTATACAGTAAGTGTCTGAAATCGTTCTGGTCTATAAAGGTTAATATTTTTCTTTATTTCTATACAATGTATTAGCATGGAGTTGAAACCATGTGGAATGTATTTTGAAACACTTTTTTCCTTTCTCTTCCAAGTTCCATCCCTCTCCTGGTATATGACCTGCAAACATATAATTTACGGAATTTGTGTTAACATAATTGTATGCTTTGCCAAATGTGTCAGTATATCCTATCATTCCTATACATATGTATCATTTTTGGTTCAACTTTGTTTGTAGGTCCACATCCCCTGCCGTTTTTGCATTAACACCATTATGTATCTTAGTATATGCTGCTGATGTAGGGGTTCACATGGGCTTCTTATCCTGGCCTGTGTTTTGGTCACTGGATGAAAATAGATGGATAAGGTAAGAAGTTATTCTTTCTTTAAGTATAAGGGGGGGGGGGGGGTTGTGAGATGGGGCAAATACTTCAACTAGTATGTTCTCTCAGCAGACTTTGTAAATATGATATTGGGAAATATACCTTAATATTAAAAAGTGCCAAATGAAAACATGTATGATTTCAATGCAGACTGAGTATCCAATGTGCTATTTGTCTGCTCTCCGGAAGTCACGCTACTGTTATATTTGTAATAGATTCATATTAGCACATCAGTTGAAGTGCCCAAAAATAATCTTTAAAATGTGTCTGTTTGATTTGGAATATAATTAATTGTTCTCTTTCATTTTCATATTACATATGATCTATCTCACTCCTGTTCTTTTATTTATAATTTAGATGCTCTATGTGATTTCACCTCCCCCCCCCCTTTTTTTTTGCACAGGTGGAATTAGTGCCTTACAAATCACATATATTATTATTAATTTTAGTAGTATTATTATTATATGAATTGAATGGAACTATTGCAATGCTTCATGTCATTCATTAAATCTGTTTCATTCCATTATATTTCAGGAGAGAGTTTATATTCACCTGTATGTATACCATAGACTATCTGATGCTGGTCACAGAAACTCTTGTAGGCCTGGTAAGTCACACTAAGTTACACTAATGGATAGATCGAGACCATTTCATTATCCTTAAATATATATGTTGCCAATTAGTATGTTGTTCAGAGAATTCTGAAGATTATTATCTTGTATTGTTCTATTGTTGTTAAGTAGTATGTTTAGATTCTATATTTACTAGTACTGTAATATTTTGTTCTGAAGGTACTGTAATTGTTCAGAATATTAATTCCAAGGAATGGAGGAAGGGATTGGTAACTGTTGATTTTTATCAACATTCTGTTTAAAATTTAAAAGAATAGCATACTGAGAAAAGACAATCAGAAAAAAGATTATATTTTTTTTTCTTCTTTTCAGCGTTTGGCCCAACCATTTCGATGTCTGCGGGCAGCCATCATTCTGTGCAAGCTGAATAATGTACAACACATCTGGGATGTGGTCATGTCAATTGTCATTAAACTGGGAAAGGTACTTTATTACTCTATAAAACCTTCTTGTACATACAATCTTCAAAGGGCTTTGTAGCCTATCCTTGGTATTGAATTTAAATGAATTCAGGGTTTACATGATTTTATGGAGTCTGGGAGTGCATGCCATAAATGTCTTCAGTTATTGATTTATGCAGGATCAATAAATAAGGATTCATCAGGTGAAAGTTTAATGAATTACATGTATGAGTAGGGTAAGAATGGATAGTGATATTTAAAACAATCAAATTCTTAAATGAATCAGGAAGCAGGTTATTCATGAATTTAAACATGAAGATCAAACTCTGTTGTGCATTTTTTTATAAAAGATTGTCAATTTTTTAAATTCATAAAATAATGGGTTTGTATAGGCTAAATATTGGGAGCCAGCACATATGCAAAGCGCTTTCTTTTGCAATAAATGAATAAGGTTAATTTTTGTATTTGTACTTGAAGCCCACAACTAGTTACTATGAAACCTATGGCAAGATGAGGGAGTTATATAGCATTGAAGGGGTCTTTTTATGATGATAACATTTTGTCGTATTAAGTATTCCAATATTCCTAGACATGCTTGCAACTATATCATAAGTGCTCATACTGGCCAGCTAGAGACTTCATCAATAAGGATACCTTATTACTTTCTAAGGGTGTATTATCAATTACCCAGTCAATTGTAAGATATTCTGATGCAAACCAAATAACAATGAAGAGTAGGCTGTGTGCCATTATTTGCAATAATATATTTTCATTCATTCTACTCCTTGTCAACCTTGATCTATCACTATGACTGCAAAACGTCATATGAAAGAAGAATTGTCAAATGGGATATGAATACATGTATTATGTATTCTATTAGTCTGGACAATAAGAATGAGAATGACAAATGGGCATTTACTGGGACTGGTCATACATGTAGAAGCAGTATATCAATTTGCTTTTTACATTGAAATGAGTGAGATTATGATATAGACAAGTGTGGTAAGAATACTGTTCTTTCTTCTCTCCCTCATCCACTCTCTTGGTTCTGATCAATTTCACCATTCGTGTTTCAATATCATTGGAATTTCCATTCTGAATTGCAATAGAGCAAACCTAAATTAATTGGGTAATGAAAACTCAGTCACATCATACAAACCTCTCTTTACTGTCATGGCAAGTGATCAATACCTGTTATACTTGAAAAAACATCTTTTCTCCATTTATATGTCCCTTACTCTTTTTCTAGTATGAATGTACTTTTTCATTGGTTTATTATACATACGAGTAAAAAGTAGGCCTACCTTGGAGAATTAGATAAGTCTTATAATTCTTTTTTTAATTGTCTTGTTATTCTGATTACTGTCAGGTATTTGTCATCATTTTTGTATTCATCACCCTGTTTTCTGCTATTGGAGTACACCTGTACACAGACACATATCATGACATAGAATCAGAAGCCTCCAACTGTACAGGCAACTCAACAAATGTGTATGTTGGGTAAGTAGCAATATTTCTTTCTTTCTACCAATTCATATCAACAGTGAAAAACAGAACAACATTGTCATATTATTACTCCTATCAAAAGTTTTAAACTGAAAATGAGTTCATTTCTGTACAAATCTGTTGACTGAAATAAAATGATATAATTTTCTGACCAAGGTCAATATTCCTGAAATCCTTGAAATTTTACAAAGATCTTGGTGATAGTGACGACTGACGATACATCTGTGATTCCATGACATTTGCTCCGGCGACAATTGCTCCGCTGTAAATTTCATACACTAATCGAATGGCTAACTTCAACCCTGGATTCAACACTATACCCTACCCTAAACCTAACCCTAAACCTAACATAAAACCCTATTGAAACCCTAACCCTAACCCTACATCTTAGACGAAATAAAGCCCGGAGCAATTGTCGCAGGAGCAAATGTCGTGTCACCACATCTGTTCTACACACGTTAGAAAGGCATCAAATATCAACTTGTAAGAGTAAAACTGTTCAGGTCAATATTAATTTTGAAACACACATATTTGCCTTTAGGAGGTTTTGCATGAAATAAGTCTCCTACCAATTTGAAACAAGATCACTGAAAAAACTTTACAAAATCAGTAGTAATGTCTTCTTCCTACTCTCTGAATGGACTGTCGATGTTCTAAGCGCTACTAATGGATATAAGATGACGTTGCTCGCAAGTTTTTGCATCAGTGTCTTAGTGAATGTTGTGCTTCTTCTTAAAGATATGTACAGTTGTTGTGTCCCACTAGTCTACTATTTGCAACCCACTTTGTCAAAACCCTTTTTATAGTTTTTGTCTATAGTTTTTGTTTATATTCTAAAAATAATTTTTGCATGTAGGGGATATGTGCATTATCTGGAAATCAAATGTTTTAAAAAAATGTTTAAAATGTAGAAGTTTAATTAAAGAAGAAAACTTTATATGTGCTTTATTTTGTTCTATACAGAGCCTTTGACCATGTGGGTATTACCTCTCTGAGGTTATTTGTGCTACTATCTACAGAAAACTATCCAGTAAGTCATGATTCATTGCTTTTATGTTTCGGTAAATTGCTAGTCAATAGTACTTTACTAACTTTAGAACTCCTGAATCCATTTTAATAAAACTTCTGACATTCCTAAGCTTTAGAGACATGAATAATTTGAACTAAATCTTATTCAGGTATGTACATGTATATCACTATTAAAGTTAAGTTTCCAAAGTCATGTTAAAATTGTTGTATATATGGTATTGCTAAATCAAAGATGTAAGAAATGTTCAAGATATCCATTTCAAATTTTCTCAGATGATCTAACATAAATTCATAGATGGTGATGTTCTTATACACATATCATGACCATTAATTGACTCTCACTATGACCATTAATTGACTCTCACTTTGTCTACACTGACATGCAATATTTTTTAAAATTTGTTCTGCTTTCCACATAGGATCTAATGATTCCAGCCTATAGAACAAGTCATTGGAACTTCCTCTACTTTGGCATCTTCTTGTTTGTTGGTGTGTTCTTTCTGACTGCCATCATACTTGCTATAATTGTGGATAGCTATTGGTATGTTGCCCATTTCCCCAATATCAACAAGTTATATATCAGTAATATCGTCCCTATTTTCATGAAGTGACAATAGTGAGGAAAATTGTAACTCAAATTGAATGCAATTTTTTTTCACAACCGTCACTTCGTGAAAACAGCCACGATATGTGCTTTTGTATCTTTCAAATGGTGAAACATTTTATAACCTGGTGCAATTTTCAGTCACTATATCTTTATTTACTGTATTTCTGACTATTATTAATGTAATGTATATAAACTTGAAATTCTAAAACTGTTATTTCCATGTATGTGTCCAGATCGATGGATCACAGGTGTGGACATTACTAAATGTTGTGTAGATACGTGTATAAAGCCAACTATTTTATTAGTCCATCTAAAAACAGGCAAGAATATTCAGAAATAAATGAGGCATAAAAATACAAAAGAAGAAGAAGAAATCTAATGAAATGTTATTCTGCATGTACCTGTGGAAGTTATTTGTAGTAATAAATGAAACCAACATAACATCACCAATGTGATATAGACTTCACCTCTTCTGGATGTCCAATACCATTGTGCACTGAATTTTGATGATCATATCCATGCAGGTCATTTGCTAAGAAGCATGTGAAGAAAGAGAGAGCAAGAGAGAGGGCAGAATTGGCTAAAGCTTGGAACCTCTTGGACCCTCTTGGTCAAGGGAGTCTACCAAAGGATGATGGAAGATTCTTAAAGCTCTTGAGAATTCTTAAACCACATGTGAGTTTCATTCGGGATTCTTTTTATTTTTTTATTTTGAAGAGAAAATTATATTTGTCCTGCACTATCATATATTGTAATGACATTACCGATTCAGCTATTTTGAAGTGTCTATACATGTAATGATTACAATATTTATAAATGCATAAATTTCTTACTTTTTGTACATTCAAACTCTCACAAGCTTGCTTGTCAGAATTTTCTGCATTTTTGTTGGTGTTTTTGAGAAGTTGTTTATTAATCTATTTTTATGTTTGGAGAAAAAATGCTAATGGATTGAAAAGAGATTTGTTTGTCATGCAAGAATTATTTACATACAAATTTGAGGTTTTTAATAAATACTGTTTATTTTTCCCACAGCACACAGAAGAGATGAATCTCCAGTTGATTGACTATTTAGATCATAATGATGATGGACAAATAGACTCATTGCAGTGGACCATTAGGCTTAATGAAGCTCTCTCATTTGAATTTGAAGAAGACAGATTTTATGACATGGTAAGAATTCTCATCGTTCATGGCATGTCGGACATATTCTCAAGATTTAAGTCTTTGTAAGATTGAGTATATGCAAACTTATGTAGAGTATAGCATATTGATTTATGAGGATATGATTGTCAGGTAAACAATCATAATGCTGTGTCTGTGTGTGTATCAAAGGTATTTTATGTTTTGTTTGTTGATGTTGACATGTCGCTGAAACAGGAATATCAAGAAAGTTTTTTAATTAAGGAGTTTATTGATGAAAAGTCTCTGATAAGATACAGATTGAACTACATTGGTTGTAGACGTCTTTATTTCTTATTCTTGTGCTTCCACCAATGAAAGGTGATACAAAGACATTACACGTTGGGTTTTATTCTGTTCATTATTTGTTCATTATCCAGAGGATATGAAATGGGTAGACCTTGGTATGATCTAACACAATTTCCGAAGAATACATTTCATGAATGTAACATTTTTAGTCCATGGAAGTTCTATTATCTTCAAGTGAAAATGATTGATAGTCTGTAAAGCATCCTTGTGTGATATACTCTGGTCCTCTCAATACAAGTATATTTGTACATGTATGTAATAAGCTCATCCAAGCCAGGATAAGGCCAAATGCAGTTGACGAGGAGGTCTTCTATACCCATAGATAATTGTAAGAGAAAATAATTGTATGTCATGTTAAATATATTTTTACAGGATACCAACAGCTCTAAATGTGTGTATGCCATTCAGTCATTCAGTCAGAAGATCATCAGATCAAGTGTTTACTCAAAGATATTGCTTGCGCTTATCCTCTTGCACAGGTAAATCAAAGATATTTTGTTTTTATCAAACGCTTTAAAAAATAATCTTACTGTAAAGTAGTTGCAAGTACAAATCACTGTCTTTCATACAACGAGACGTCTGAGTTATACCAGGTTTTAGTCCATGTATGTCTCTTCAAACTTACTATTATGTTGTAAGCCCGATAAAGCTTGAAATTAAATCAATTGGAAGTGCATTTAGTGAATAGGGTAAAGATGTTAAGAGGTGGAAATGTAGCTACACAAAAAGAGGTCCAACACATATAGAAGCCTATCATCCAAAATCAGTGCTATGAAAATCTTAAATATCATAGCTAGAGATATAATGTCTGAGGAATTGAAAACCATTGTCACCACCTTGCCAGCTTTCTATCACTTTCCAGGCTTATTCTTTTTCTTCAAAGTATTTTTTCAGAATTTTAAATTTCACAATGTTCTTGTTAACACGTTGCATACCAATTGCCTAAGATTCTATGTGTGCCATAACAATAGACCAGTTCACGGTTAGCACATGTCCCAAATGACCCTGAATATCCACAAATCTTCAAAATATAAAGATGTCCCACTTTGTACATTTTGGTGCTACATAAATAGCCTTTGTTTCCACTTTTTAAAGAATACTTCCACCTGTGTACCATGGAGTGCACTGCTTGTGCATAAATGAATATTGATTAAATATCTTTCATGAGCACGTATCCATTTTTTTGCCTCCATGTATTTCACAATTTGGTCTGCAATGACCTTTATCTGCTCATGCTCAGACTGCAACTATGAACTGGCTTATAACAATGATGGCTTCATTGTGAGGTCTATAGAAAATAATATTTCCTTGCTTTATGTTTACAGTATCCTCTTCTGCTTAAGATGGCACAACATGGATGAAACAGCAAGAATTACAATCCAGGTCCTCAAGACGACCATTCTAGCCATCTTTGCTGTAAGTCACTTTTTTTTTTCTCTCTCTCTCTCTCTCTCTCTCTCTCTCTAATAATGATAATAATACATATATAGATTTATTTATATATCTTCTCTTTTAGTCTCTCACCCTTGCTGGTCAGTCTTTTTTCAACAATTTTTGGCAACATTTCAAAGTTCCCCCTACGTTACTTGTCTATATCTCTCCTTCCTTGTAATTTTACTCTTTTTTTTTCTTTTTACTTTCAAACTCATTGGAAACCAAAACTTGTAAGATTATAATCATGGTAGCCATTGATGAGATGATTCCTGGGACAAGAAATCAATCTATGTTCGTTAGCATGCATCCTCATTATCTGCAGAGTCTCATTTCTTGAACCATCTCAACACACAGTTTAGTTGGCAAAATTGGTGTACGGTAAAGGGAATATCCATTAATTAATAATTTGTATCCAACCTCATAAAACTTTAGCCAGCAAATACAAATACAGTCACAATGGATTTCGGTAATCCTCGTATGAACCAATTTTCTCCTGGGTGGGTATTGGCAAATGTATGTTAATGTCTTACTAATAGATGTTAGTGCTGCAGCTGGCAATTAACTGCATACAGTGATTCCTTCGTCTGCTAACGGATTCACTTGACTATATATGCAGAGATGTCAACTTTGGGGAACTGCTTTGAGGGAAGTCGTATGCAGGATTTTTTCAAGGGGGGTGTTTTAAAATTTGAAAATCGTGCCGAAAATTTCGCAATGACTCATCCAGCCTCTGAATAAGCAGTGGGGGGTAAGATCACATTGTTTTGTTGGTCCCGTGTTTTGACGGGCTTACCATGTTTGGCGGGAGGTTTTTTCATAAACCGGGAGATTCTACATCGAAGCGGGAGGAAAGGCATGCTGGCGGGAGTCTCCCGCTAGAGCTATTATGACGGCGGGAGAATGAGCGTGGTGGCGTGAGACTCCCTCCAAATGCGGGAGGGTTGACAGCCCTGCTATATGATAGAATATTTTGTATTTGATTGACAGGTGGAAGTATTGCTTCGTATCATGTCAGAAGGAAAGAATTTGATGCAGGTGGTAGAGATCTTAGACATCATCTTGATTGTGATTGGTGTAACATCAAACATTCCAATCTATTTCATACCACGTACCTACTTTGGTCTATGTAACATCATCTCTGGTCTAGCTGTTTCATTCCGGTTGGGCTTCAATTCTGCTCAGGTAACTTAACGAAATACCCTTTGATTTTTACTCTTTTAACAATAAATCACACTCAGTAATTTCAAAGTTATTGCTGTGTAGAAGTTGTACTTTTTAGTGCCAGATTAGGGCCAGATTCATTCATTGTGAGAGATAATAACTTAAAGACATAATGTGACAACACTGAATTACTGCCTTATGGTCGGGCGTACTCCCATTGACTTGATAAGTTCTCTCTAATTAGTTCTACTGTTCATGATTTTTGGGATGACCTGCCTTATTACATGTATGTAAGTCTGTTTATTTATGTAAATAAATAATGATATATATGTTTCTTTTAACGATTTCTGTCCAAAATATGTGTTTAAAGACTCAGCACAATATTATTGCTTCATGTGTCTAAAATCATTTGGTTAGAAAGCTTTAACATTTATGACAATTTTTCAATCAATGTAATAGCACAGGCATTTACTTTTTTTTACCTGGAAGTTGATAAACAAGAACACTTTAATGAAGCATATTCCTGAGATAAAGGGAAACATCATGAACTTTGCCTTTTTCATTTATTAACAGGCCAAGAAAGTTGTGATACTCTTCTCAACCAAAGTGTTTCCTGTCATGTTTGATCTGATCATCCTAGTCTTCATCATCATGTAAGGTTATCAAATAACTATGATATGATAAGATTGGTGTATCATCATTGTAAGGTTATCAAATAACTATGATATTATAAGAATGGTGTATCGATCAGTAGGTTTTTAATTTAAAATACAAATTTACGCTCTAAAAATATTAACAATAGATGTACAGTGACATTTGTGTTTGTCATATAAGAACATACTTCACTATGATTTTCCTGTCATCAGAATTGACATGTCTTAGCTCAGATTAGATTTAATATACATTATAATCCATAAAGTGAGTGCATGAGCGAATATTCACTGCATGCAGGTTAAGTCACAATCGGTTAATGAACGCGACTTGTCGAGTTCATTATCTGGCTGCAGTGCATATAGCTATCGCACGAGCTTTAAAACATAAATTAGCCTATAATATTAAATAAAGTCGAGAAATAAGCGAAAGTGCCACAAATTGCACATATCATTAGAACCTTTTGCATGGTAGGCTTGGGAGGAAGGAAAGATGCATGGTCACATGTCATCATTTGACCAATAAGATTGCCTACATTCTAAAACCCATTTCATAATAATGAATGATCTCATTTTGTCTTATAGCTTCTTTGCATCGGTGCTAGGATGGGAGTTATTCTATGGTATTACTGCTGATACAAGCTATGATACAGGGGTGTATGACTACAACTGTGGTATTGGCTTCAATTCTTTCTCGTGAGTACTCGCTTCCATCTTATCTGATATTAATTTTCAAGATGCTATTAGAGGAAGTGTTCTTAGATGCGGTTCATTGCAGTTCAGGACTAGGGTTTAGACATTTTGGTTTCATGAGCATGATAACAACCAACGGGAAAATTTACCAGGTTAAAGACCAAATAACTTAAATTTTTTTAATGGCTTTTTTAAATTGGTGTTTAGTATTGTGGACTATTGGTTTTACATATCATCAGTCACAACTTATATGTCATATTTACATACCTACATTATAATCTTTAGCCAATTGTTTAAACAGTGAAAATGTTTCCACATAGTTTTCTAGAAATCTTAATGAATACTAGTTAATATAATTATCTTACACTCTTGTACTAAATCAATGTCAATAGACTCAACTGGCTAATAATTTGCCTGTGTTTATCCATCAGATGCTCATTGTTGATGGTATTTCAGATTGTAACTACAAGCAACTGGCATGAGATTATGAATGCTGTGAGTATATCAAAACAATTGTTATATTCACCAGTCTAATGGTAACGATGTGTGATTATCTGTTCTTTTAACTAATGTTAATGCTCTTCATTTATGATATTAATGAAGTAGCATTAGAGGCTTGTCATTTGACAATCCTAATTATGCTATATTTTAGAAGTCAGAGTTAAAATCATGTCTTTAACAATATCCCACATTGTATATGAATATTACCCATTTGTAGGACATGGGCTTTAGGGAACTTTGCACATAGCTGGCTGGGCTTGTGGCTGGGACAAATGAAAAGTTGCATGTTCCTTGTCTTGAGGAGATAAGATTATTTATATATAAAATATATTTGTATTTGTCATTGTAGTTGAACATGTTTCATCCATAAATGATATACATTTTCATTAACTGGATACATGGTCATTTTCTTCTGGTTTCAGGCGATGGTTGCTACTACAGATTGGGCATGTATCTACTTTGTTGCTTGCTTCACTACCATTAACCTTGTTGTAATGAAGTAAGTATGGTTTACCCAAGTGTATTGCAATATTGATATTGATTTATATAATTAACCAGGAATAGTTATTTGCATCAGTTACTTTCGAACACTAGCAGAAACTGCAAGAATCCCCATATTTGTTCTATGTTTGATACTTGTATAGGCAAGCTAGTTGGTTAATTGTGTCATTGCGCACTAAAGATACTCAGGTAGTAATTGAAGTTGGTCATTGGGCTAAGAAAGCTGAGTTACATGGTTGTGAAGTGATTGTTGATAGTTCAGAAAATTTATCTTGAGGAAAAAGTATGTGAAAATAAAACATATACATACAGTACATTTAATTTATCACAATGTGCTAGTACATGTAAGCTTAAATAGAAGCATGACGGAGCTAATGCTAGTATTCTGATTATATCAGTAGATTAGAGTGTAAAGTCTAATAGTTTTATCCTACCCCCTGTAGTTTTATTTTTTTCTACTCATCTTATCTTTTGAATAATTTTTGTTTCAGTTTGTTTGTTGCTATTGCTATTGAAGCATTCAATAAGCTGGGTACAGACAAAGAGACAGAAAAAGAAGAAAGTCCTGAGAAGAATAGCAATCAAGAGGTATGTTTTTCTTATAGTTCACCCAACCTACATCTATTACATATATATTCTTGAACATAATCCTTTTACATTTAGTATGTCATATGTAATAGTCAAGGTGAGCATAGGGTGATCTGACATAAATATGCCCTGGTGACAATTGCTTTGGGCTTTGTTTTCATCAAAAGTAAAGGATTTGTGATTAGAGTTGCCAAAAGGTTTTAGGATAGGTATTAGGTGTAGTGTTGGGTCTAGCTGGGTTAAAGTAAAGAAACTTGGTTAGTGTAGGGACTACACTGTGAAGCAATTGTAATATGAGTATGCAATGGCATTGCCAAGGTAGACAAAAAGGGGCTCATTGCGTTTACATATGCCAATAATATAATTTTAAAACATTAATGAAGAAAAGAAAGGAAGGGAGTGTCATATGTTAACAATACACATAACATGTTCCATTACTTCTATGGGTAAAATTGAATTTTCTGTTGGGTTCTTAATTTAATTTTTGTAATGTAATTGTTAAAGGTAATACAAAGTTTTGGCATGGGTTCATGAATTTGGTTCAAATGAATATATTGGAAGCATATGCGATCCTACAATAATTCAGGGATCCTTGTCGCAGTTGAAATTGAGTCTAGAGTTATGAAGTTGTAAATAATAAACTCTTTATGTTGTATAGCTCCCTCTCAACGTCAAGATATTAATTAAGCTATAAAACAATGTTTTTTGAATAAATTCGACTGATTAGCTATTCCTGTTTGGAAATTATATATCACAACTACATATTCTGAGATTTTCATGGTTGCAACTACCATTGTTCGGCCGTAGGTGCTATTTGAAATCTATCAAAATTTACTGGGAGCACCAGTAAATTTTTATATTTGATTTTTCTTGAAAGCATGCAGAAGTGGGACTTGGGGATTACATTTTCTAATGCTTATAATACATCCACACGAGGGCATTCAAATATATCAAAATTGTAAAGAATCACTATCCACCCAATTTTCAAAATTTCCCCAAACTTTGTATTACCTTTAAAATTCAAGTTAATATCTGACATTGGTTAGTCCCGAATTTAAATTTAATAGACAATTTTTTGTCCTCCCAAGTTTTAATTGAATGATTATAACATTTACAATAGCAGTAAAAACATAAAATCACTCCACATGTAAACAGATCCATTGATTCATCACCAACAGCTGTCAAGAAGAATTGCATGGCTCCAAACGTTTCATCATATTTTCTATCTCTCTCCCTCTCTTTCTCTCTCTCTCTCTCTCTCTCTTCAGGAAAGCTTTGCCGGTTCAGCAATGACATTCTTTAACAACCTGTTTGAAAGCTCAAGGGTAAGATTTTATACAAGTATTTGCACTCAGCTCTTCATTAATTTGATTTGATTTTCAATTGGTTTTCATTCAGATGTTTTCTGTTCCAATATAAATGTGTACATGATATAGCAACATATAATACAATGGGATAATTTGTAAATAAATTAAATCAAAGTTTCATGTATGCTGCTTGTAAGTGTCGGCTTGCATGGTGATGTAGATATACAGTAGGCTTACAGTAGGCTTACATGGTGCACCCGCAAGCCTACAGTATAAGTTTCATGTAGTTAAAAGAATAGAGATATAAATAAAATATCATTAGTGACCTAAATACATTGAAACATTGTGGTATGTTTTGAAAGCATTATAAGATGATGAAGTGGATCCTAATCAAATGATTAGTTGAGAGCGTACACGTGATCAGGCTTTTATTTTGCCTAACGCGTAATTTGACCAATGACCGGTCATTAGTATGAGTAAAATCATGTTATAAACATCATTTTGTTCGTGCATTAGTAAAATTACCCACACTCAGTACCTTCCAAACATTCCAAGCACCCTCGGCTATCGCCTCGGTCATGTTAGACTGTCCCAAAGGTACCTTGTATGGTTACTTCTCACTAATGCCCTCACTGCTGTGTATTATTTGTGTAACAATTTTATGATGCATGGCCCCAAAACTTAATTTTTTAGCAGTATCAAGTTTTGGTAAAATTAATTGTTTTGAAGTTTTAGATATTTGCATATCAAAATTACTATTTGTTGTTTGCCGATTTAGTGGTAAGATATTCAAAAAGTTTGATATCATTTCCAGTCCTAATTGGAAGTAAAGCAGAAAACACATAGACATTAAAGCAAAGTGTTTTATAAAAAGATATAACTATCATGAATGATTTTACATGTGATTCAACTAAATAATTGACGTGTGTTGAAAACTGTAGTCGTTTTTCAGAGGAGATATTGTAGTGAGATACATATTAACTTAATTCGGAAAACTGGATTTATATGATTTGTTTATTATAGACTGAACAAGAAAAGGAGAAGCTTTCTCAGAGGCCAACAGGTAGTCCGAGAATGAGAAGACCCAGTAGAGTGGTATGTATACATAGACAGACATATGGTACTAACTCAACAAATACTTGATGGTTGATAATGTATCAGTAATTTAACTAATTATGGTTTTCAGAGTGCCATGAAATCCTGTTCTTTTTTCTAAGTTTCTAATCTGAAATTGACACTCTAACTTTCCAGTTAAATCAACTTATATTTCTGTTGTGTTCTTGCATACAACTCTGAATCTCTTGCATGTCATTGAACTTTAAAAACGACATACTTACCTTTTTTACCTTCATAAGTATTTTCTTTACTAACATTAGAGAAAAAAATTGGTGGTTGACAGATTAATGTAAATTTAACTAATAATGATTTTCAAAGTGCAATTAATTTTTTCTTTTTTCTTCTAAGTTTCTGATTTTAAAATTGACACTCTAACTTTCTAGTTTAATCATCTTATATTTCTTTTGTATCTTTGTATAAAACTCTGAATCTCTTTTTCTGTACTAATATTGAAGTGAGTTGAGTGTTACTAATGGTATATTTGTGCTCACTAATCAGAGTGTGACTACTACATTTGGTGCATTCCCTGGTTCTCCTCCTAACCTGCTTGAAGTGCCTCAGATTCCTAGAATTGTAAGTCGATCTAACTCATCTTTTGAGTCATGTGATTCCAAGTATTAATCTGCTTCTGAGTCATGGGATTCTAAGTATTAATCCGCTTCTGAGTCATGGGATTGTAAGTCAAACCTAATTCTTGAGTTCATGGATTGGAAGTTTATTTCATAGTTTGTATAAAGTCTGTGCCTCACTGTACCCCATAGTTTTATGGTTTAAAAAAAAAATTGCTCCAAATTTTGGAAACATCTTGAAAACACAAGGATTGCATCTGTGCATGAGCTGAAAAAGTATTGGTTAATTACCTTTAAAATTTACGAAAGAAGATTGTTATCTTATAATTTTTTTTTTAATTAGTTGGATGAATAAGGGTGCCCATAATGCAAAATGTATCTTTATTGAAATTCATAATTTTATGACATAAAGGTGTAATTGTATATTCTAACATGGAGCTGATGAATACCTTTATTACCTTGATTAAGCTTATCTCACTGACATCACCAACTATTATGCATTTTGCATTCAGAATGTTTATAACTTTATACAGAGTACATTCACTTAACCTTATGCTGCAATGTGATCCTAACTCTTTCTTGGTTTGTACCAGATCTGGCACAAATTGATTTTTACATTCCATTTTCAAAACAATATGATACGATGAAGCATATATGGATCAATGCCATAACTATACATATATCACTCGATAATACTACTTCTACTTGATCCAAACAAATAATTACATTCATAGTTTGACCATGGATAAGTCCATGGTGTGATCAAACAATGTACCTTTATTTGTTTTTGTTTTTTTCTGGAACGTACTGTTCTTTTAGATACATGCATGTACAAATCTATCCTTGTTTTTATTTCTAGATGTTTGATGTGATATCTATATGTAAGATTGCTGTTTTATGAACACTGTAAGCTTTGAATTGTTCATTGCTATTCATTATGGGTTAATTTGTACAATATTCTAAAAGGGCTAGGGCAGACCAAATAATAATGCTAGCTGTCATGGTATTATTAAATGTTTAAATTCCAGCCTGTGATTCAGGAAGAGGAGGATGAACCAGAGGAAGATCTGAGTGGATTAAGCAGAGAGGAGAGAAAGAAGAGACAAATGAAGAAAAGACGAGAGAAGAGAAAGAACAAAGTTAAGACAATGATCTTAGTAATGACAGCCTTCAGAGCGACCAAAGATTCAGAGCTTAATCTTAATGTCGGAGAGGAGATAGAAGTCGTTGGCAAGGTAAAATTGAAATCTAAATCATTAAGAAAACACTAACCATAAATTTCATTTTATGAGCAAATAATATGGAAGTATGGTATGATCTTGAACCCCCACAAAGATCTTGGCTAAATAAGTATAAAGTAAAACATAATTTATCGTGGACATTAAGAAATATGAGAAAGGGGATTGCTACATTGCCCGAATTTACTAAAGTTAAAGTACGAAGTTAAAGTACGTGTATCTATTTAATTAATTCTTCAGCTCTTACACATAGTGTATTAATATTTAGTTCAAATATACTCTGAAGGCCCGATGTTAAATGCCTAATTTTATGATAAAGTTGATCTGTCCTTAAAAAAGGATGGCAAAAATTGTGATGGAATTAAATGAATTGAAATAGTGAAGTACATGTATATGTTCTTCATTGTTGTTGTTTCTTTATTTGTACATTTATAGCAAGATGAATGGTGGGAAGGCCGTAAGGATAGTGATGAGCAAGGCTGGTTTCCTGCTTCTCATGTCAAGGCGATCATTAGAAGTCAACCTCCTCCAGTTCCAACTCCTCTTGCACAGCGCCCTCATATGGCCCGTAGAGCAACACAGGAAAGCATAAAGGAAGGCTGGAGTGAAACGGATTACTTCCCATTGAACACAACATTGGTACGTTATCTTTTAAAGCTTCAAGTTTAGTTGAATAGATTAGCTAAATGTACTTTTTAAAATTGTATTCATTACCAAAATGAG